TTCACGAATCTTTATTGGAATAACAACAGCTATCCTCGGTATGTTCTTCAGCATGTGTTTATCAAGACTTTGAAAGTCATCTCACGTTAGCATAAAGCACTGGTCGATCTGTACTGAGCTTACAGGGCTTGTCAGTTCAAGAATGCTATGTAAAATCAATAAATTATCAAACCTGTTCAAACAACACGATAAAAGGATTCAATAAGAACAGGTTTCCTCAAGAGCGTTTATAGTATCCAGATATAATTAAATCTTTGTGGTTCGTTATCTGCCGTCTGTAAACACAGACAAAGGACAGTTGAGTCTGGTGTCGTGACAAGCTTGTAAAGTATGTTCAACGTTCTGTTACATTTAGACCAGTTTGAACTAATCATTCACACCAATATATAAGTATGTTGTGGCTTGGCGTGCGGGGAGATGAAGAAAGTGAAGGTTCAATTAACTTTAACATTGTGGAGTCATTATGTTGCCCATGCCAGAAGTAGGAACATAACACTAAGCGATAGCAAATGCTTACAAGTACTCTGTTTTGTATTATATCACAATATACATTTAATATTTAATATAACATAAGTTTAATAGTGTCTTCCCTTATTCTCCGCTTATTTTTCGCCGATTTTGAAATTGCAATATTTATATACATGCACTTTGAGATTCTTTTCAACTACTTATATGAACGGTGACAGCGCTTGTTCCCTTGTGCATTTCTCATATGACGGATGGGTTCTACCTAAAACGTTACTGAAAAGCTTCAGCGTAGAATGCAATAGACGAATTGACTAGAAAATTGGTATCGTTTAGCATTGATGATGTATAAATGTAATCAAAAGTAATCGTAATATACGCTATATGAAAAGTTAAAAAAGTCAACCCGTCCTTCGTTGGTGGAAAATTGCATTGAAAGCCTTGCTACAACTGTTTTGGTTGCAGTTTACCTAATATTCCTTTTCCTCCCTTGAAATAGTAAATAATATTCATAAACATTTTCTGTATGTAAAAGGTTCATTTCCATACCACAATATCACAACGTCTATTTATAGACCCTTGCTTTTTAGTGAGGTGAGGTGAGGTGAAATGGGGTTTAACGTTGCGTCCAAGATTATTGCACTTATATAGCGACGTGCATGCACGTGTATGTGTGTGTGTGGCTGCTTGTACTAGTCCGGACTGATGCCGATTTATAGTGCTAGCACACTGAGATACCATGCCGCAGTTTAACATGAATACCCCACTCAGACACAGTATACTGACTTCGAGCAGACCAGTCCTTGTTTTAGCCCCTTAATGCCGAGCGCCAGCCAGGGAAACAACAAGTACCAATTTTTAAAGTCTTTTAGTATGACCCGGACATTCCGCTCTCCGGGCGGACGCTCTACCACTAGACCACGGAGGCGGTCGCTTTTTAGTGAGTCTGATTTCACGCCACTCATCAATGTTACAGACGTAATACAGCAGGGACATACCAAGAATGTTCTTTCCAATGAAATAATCTCACAATATTTTATTATTTCCCACATCCATTACGTCAGAACTGCAGCAGACATCTACGGTAGTGTAACATCTTGCAGTATAACAAAGACCACTGTTAGCATCTGTTTGGAAACTCCAGATGTTACCGGTAATCAAGCGTCTGTTTGTTTTCACATATGCCTGGTGTAATTAAATAGTATTATTTTGTTCATCGTTGATTTCGGGATTTACAGTGGTCTACGGCGCCACATTTCTATGCGAAGAGTTGCATCCCTTAGGCATGCCAGAATGCTATGATCTTAGGTTCGAATTCAAGATTTTTGTGATTATTGGTTTTAACAACACCAAACTCGTTGACCTCACCTCTTCGAAGACCTCATAGAAGACCTGCATCTTTTTCGTCTTCTAACTGCGATCAGTTCTCAAACTCAAAGTACCTTTGAAACCCGAACACGTATACGCACAAAGGTAAAATGCTCGTTCAGTGTTTGCCTTTTGCGTTCGTAATGTAGTCGTACTTAAATATACCTCGACTGAACCAGTTGTTCAATCAACAATCAACAACTGCAAATCTTGTACAGAAAAAGTGCACAGTCCAAATTTGATTGCCAATGTATATACATGACAACGTTCTTAAACATGTTTATAATCCCGGTGCCATGCATCTTCATGACAGAAATAATCATTTTTTATATGACGTCAATCAATGCAATGATATTTTAATGTTGATGGATGTTAATGATATCCCTTCAAAATAACAACCTTCAAAGAACCACCACCTTTTGTGGAACCCCTTTCAATCACACAAAACTGAATGATCTAACATAAATGTCAAATTAACGCTCAAGAAAAAAACGTTATTGGGGATTATTCGCACTCGTTTGCAGAATTGTATGTATAGAAATAGACCCCCGCCGAGCTCGGCCAACAGCATTGTGGGCCAGCTGAAAGTGAACACACAGACGTTAAGACTTACACTCTTGTTTAGGTTTGTAAACCGACAAAAGACATTTTGTGTATGCACGGGGTATATAGGGGTGTTCTTAAATGTCTGCCTTCAGGTCAAGCTCGGCTTGTGTGTATTTCTTATATTCGTATAGACAAATGTAATGTAACTGCCTCAACCTTTGATGCTATACTAGGGTGTGGTTCATTGAGATAAATCATGTTATTGAAGGATCAACGCTGAGTTAAATGTCAACCATCCACACAGATCCGGTGTAAGCAATTTACCATTATGAGGTGTGTGTGTGTGTGGTGGTGTGTGTGGGGGGTGTCTTTCTTAATTCCGGGATAATGTTGAGTAATGTTTGCTAGTATATGTACATAAAACATTCACTTCAGGTATCGATTTTTGATATATAACATCTCGAATAAAGGTTTAACGCGTGCAAGCAGTGTGTGTATATATATATTGAAAGATTAACACTGAGTAAATTGTCAACCGTCTACACAGGCCCCGTGAAAGCAGTTTACCTCTAAAGCTGTTTCCAAATAATGTCATTGAACTGAAAGCATCCACTATAACAATAGTACAATAGTTGAATAGATAGTTGACCATATACATATGTCAACATATACCCGATTGCAAAACTATCTGATCCAATAAATGTATTGGAAACATGGATGTATGACAGATCGATGAGTCCTCTACTGTTTCAATACTTATTGAATACTTAATGCAAATATTACTCACAGTACAAATCTCTCCTTAATGTAGAATAATACTTATTATCATGTGAAATCTCTGCTTATTATAAAAGATTAATATGTAGAACGTGTGTGCATGTATTGCCACTCCAAAGGTTTAACTCTAATTGAGGATGAGTGTCATGTATTGTCAATCTGTGACAGATACCGAACTGCAAGAAGAGAATGCTTTGTTGAAAGTGAAATCAACTTTAGCACATTTCAACAGTTTTTAAACCTTATGTCAACAAACTCCACAAGAACTTTAAAACACATTGGACTATTCCTATCTAAAGTTATGAATATACGTAACTCATCACTGTTCTAACGTATTCTAAAACTATGTGTCTTAAAATAACGCCATAGTATATAAGCATGTATGATCTACATTATGTTAACATGTATTATGGGCTGGAGGCCTGATTACTGAATAAATCTGTCTGTCTGTCTGTCAATACTTATTGAGTCAAGAGGGAATCACACATGATGTTCTTGCCCTGACAAACGACTGGACATGTTACCAGATATTTCAACAATAATATTTTATTTTATAAAATGTCGGCAGCACCAGTAAATTGTAAGTCTTCAAAGCAAACGAGTGGTGGGCTTTTAAAATTGCAATATTGTTTAAAAGAACATTAACACAGTTATTTCTTGCTTTCAGTACTCCTACATATAAGTGGAAGATTATACCACGTCATACAATGTATTGCGGCGTAAAACAGTATTCAGTTTTGGTACAATAACAATGATATATAGTTGTTGTCATAATTTTATATTTTGAATTAAATGTAAAGAATTGTGTTTGTATATTACTTACTCAAACATTTATATTATTATTGTAGTAGCGTGTTTGACTATTTAACTGGAGAGGTGCAAACAACGCATTAAACTAAGTCATATAAAATTAGATATCTACGATGGAACTTACCATCAACACAGATCAAAACCAATTTATGCTAGCTCTAAACTCGAGATAAAATACACCCATGTTTAATTGCAACATTAGGCTATAACCGACAATATAGATATCATTATTAATATCTTAGTATAAAACAAAATTAATGTGAATTAAATACTACCTGCCAACACCAAGTATATGCACGATAGAAATCGTTTAATTTCGTGAGGTATATAAACACTCGAATAGTATTGTACTCTAAGACTTTGATTAATTCCATTGCTTCTTAATCTGTCATTGAGAAAAGATGAGAAGTGTTTTCTTTCATTGATTATACATATGCGCCAAAGATCGATGACACGCGATTGATACTCAGAATGCAGGGCTCTATAGGGTATTGGTAACCGATGAATCACAGCACTCTAATACATTGACCTCTATAGATCGAAGAATGACAGATCTATGCAATGTGCTGAAAGATTCTCATACATTAATCATTTCTGATAACTATATATAATGTTAAGCTGACATGCGATATACATATAATGTTATCCTTGAGCATTGTATACAAGGACATAACAAACAATCACACACATCATATAAAGGGCAAAAATCTTTTTCATCAAAGCTGATATTGATTGATAGCACAATTCATTCTCGCGATCAGCCATTTAGTTATCAGGCGGTATAGAAACACAATTATTGTACATTAAAACACCGATCTAACTGATCACATGGATTCAAAAGAATTAATCCATCAATCTATTTTTATATGTTTTGCCTGTATTCATAAAAGAGTAACGTTTAGGTTAAAATGTAAATCATATAAATGGCATATTCTAATGCTGAACAAGTCTAGATATATTCACGAGAGCCTTGTGGTTACATTGTTGTTGCAATGGTTCCGGTTCTAAACTATGACGTCCTATATTATCAACAGAATTCCGTCTAAGAGAGGAAAGGACGGCTCAGGAAAAGGCTGTACTTGCAAAAGCGGCAGAAGCACGCGCAGCCCTAGCAAAGGCTACGAGTGGTGTCGCGGAAACACAGGGGATCATTGCTCAGGCCGAGGCCGACGCAGCGGAAGCAGAAGTCACTGCCAAAAAGGCACGTGCACTTGCAGATGATGCTATCAAAACAGCTGAAGAAGCGAAACGAGCAGCGGAGGAGAAGAGAAAGGTGGAAGAAGAGGCGCGGAAGAAGGCTGACGCGAAGGCAAAGATAAAGGCAGAAGAAGAAAAGAAGAAGCGTGAGGAAGAGGAGAAGAGGCTGGCAGAAGAAGCGAAGAAGAAAGGAACATCTGTGGACGAAGAGAGGCAGAGAGAGATGGATGAGAGAGAGGCCAAAGAGGCGGAGAGGAAGAATCCGAAGAACTGGCCTCGATACATGTGAGTACATCTGTGATTAAACGCGAATATATAAATACATATACACACGTTACAGTACTTTCCACAAGTATGTTCCCGTACTTTACTGTACTAATCAGAGAGTATGTTCCTTCAAGAGTATTGCACCTTTGTTGCGACAGTCATACATACGCTCTATCCAATCGACCACGGAGGCGGTCCAGAAAAAGAATGGATGTACATATTATGTTTGTTTAATTCCCTGTTTAATCTACGAGTGTATGGATGCTCGGTTTCTAGGGTCCTTATCTTCTAGATTTCATACCATCATCACTGAGTGTGGGTGACATCGGTGTATTGTTTCTTTGTCTAACGGGTCCTGGTTTCATCATCAGATACAGTATTGAGGGCGGTGACTTTGACCCTGGTGTTGGTTGTATCATCCGGGCAATAGCTGGCAGCATGTCACGTGACGACGTGGAGGTGAAACGATTGGACCAACTTTCCGGAGTTTTGTCTTTGTATGAAAATGAGGAACTCATCAGCAACATTGTGCATGTGCAGCCCAACGACAAAGAGAAATCCTTCACGGTACAGAGCTTACAACGTATAATTTGTATTAATTAAAAGTATCAAAAAGTTTTCAGAGACTAACACACAACGCTGCTCTAAAACACAATCATATATACTAATTATTATGAGTAAGCTAATTCCTTGTGTTGGTGAATGTTTAGCGTATTTAGGACATGTATAAGTTCGCACGGAGGACATCACGAAAAGACATCTTTTATTTATAAGTGAATAAATGCCATCAGAATAATTTTATTTTGCAAGAAAGGTGTTTTCTTTTAGCTGTTAGAGTAAACCTTATCAGTCACCTTTTCACAAAGGGTACGTATTATTTTTGTATAGTTTGATGAACCATTTTCTATCGCCATCCCCCACTGTGCCCCGAGGTCTGGGCTGGGCAGGGAACCCGTCATCAAGATGTTACAATCCAATGGACGCTGGGCAGATATGCCTACCAACGACGTCCACTTCGAGGACATTAAGGTAGGACAACGTTGTGCAATAAATTGTGTAGATGAGTTGAGTATACCACTTTAGCATTAGTCCAGCCATATTACGTGATATTAATGCGTCATTTAGGTGTGGGACCTAAAAACCTACATTTGAAGTAAACATAATATTTAATCATTTTCAAGTTAAACAGAACGTATATTTGAGGGGACCACAACATTTAAAACATATCCTTGAAGTATTAGAGGACACAGAAGAAAAGATTTAGACTGTTAGAGAGGAGACAGCACAAAGCTGTGATGAGAGGTAGAACATTCAAATATATCATTGGGGGGATCCAAGGCAGCGATTCGTTGTTTGCTGTAGGAGATGACTAAGATGGTCACAGTGATCGCTGAGTATGAACGGTATGTGGGACCTACTCCCAGTGACCTGGCTGACCACAGGACGTTGCTCCAGTAACCCACTCAATAGGGAAATGCATCTATCTAAGGGCAACAAAAGACATGGGCATATGTTACATGGGAGGCAGAAGTGATTAATGTTAATGTTAATCCGTCGCCACTTTGAGAAACACCGTTTTTATATGATGACGTATGGCAGTTATTTCAGCTGGAGGCGGTGAGGTAGCCTAGTGGTTAAAGCGTGCGCTCGTCACGCCGAAGACCCGGGTTTGATTCCCCACATGTGTACAATGTGTGAAACCCATTTCTGGTGTCCCCCGCCGTGATATTGCTGGAATATTGCAAAAAAAGACGGCGTAAAACAATACTCACCAACCATTTCAACTGTATGCGCTATAATCGCATCTGGAATAAGCCTCGGGCTGTATGAGGTTGAAAATTTAATTTCTTTTACGGCATGACATGACGTTTTATAAATTTATGTTATATACGAACATTGCAAGATGCAGTGCAGCTTTAGTGAGTGTATGCATGTTTCTGCACAATAACAGTCACACCTCCGCTAAGTCATTGTATATTAGGCATAGCTGTGGTTGGAAAATGCGAAATCTCACATCAAATCTGAAAACCATTTCTTTTTATTGCTCTACACCTGTTTCTTTAATAATGTTACACCCTAATTTATTGCTAGCAAGACTGAATTTGAAATTATCACCTCACGCAAAGTAGACATTGATCATCTGTGTTGGTGTTGACATGCTACTCGTGTTGTGTAATTAACACGCGATAATACCATAGTTTCTAGGGCGTTGTGCAATTCACACAACCCTCATTACAGAGTCGCCGGGTAGAACTGCAGAGTCAATACCTGATCAATGAAATCACTTACTTCTGGTCGTTGTTCGTGATGGGCCAAACTCAATATTCGATAGCTAATGTACAAGTATGCATGTCAGAGTTTGATGAATTGAGCAGTGCTAATTTGTATGTCTCTATACTGTATAGCGTCGTCGGTGTCAGGATTGAGTTATTACATTATATTTAGCCCGTAAATAATAGCTATATCTACATAGTTTTAATGTGACTTATATCTAAATGTATCAACTGTTGTCGTCATTGTCACCCTGAACAAATAATTCCAAAGTCGCATTTATTGTGTTCAATGCCTTACGAAATATTTTTAACACTCGATATCAATATTATCAAAGAAACGTATTGTTCATGTCATATGTGATCTTTTCAACTAACACAGAAGACCTATGTTAAGTTCAGTAAAACTTCATATTTGCGTTCCATAGCTGTCAGGGTTCGATACCCAGAATCGCTGCAATGTGTTCCGAGTCTGTCAGTAGTCTGTGGCATGTGTGTAACTTTAGGCTTCTTGATATCACAGAAAAACTAGCTCTCAAAACGAGACATGACGTTGCGGGATATTTGTTCTCTGTTCAGTAAAGGATTAAGGTTAATGTCATAGTAACTTACCAGACCTGATTGCAGCATGTTGAGTAGCATATGTCTAGGATATATCTCAGAAAATCAATAAACACACAGTTATTCACTCAGGTCACATAGTATGATCCAGACAAGAGATTCCACAAGTTCAAGACAATACTCAACGCAGACACATTTTCAAATAGTAACAAATGAAATATGAATGTGATATCAAATATAATTTCAGGAACTGCGTTTCGTTGAGGCCAGGTTGAAGCGGTTTGGTACTTTCGCCGTCATCTACAAGATCAAGAAGGATGTGCTGATGTTCACGAAGAAAGGGGGCAAAGTGACATCCTCAGTCGACTCCCGCGTCACTTTCATTGCAAAGCCGATGTGTTTCAGGCATAATGCTAATTTCACACTCGAGGTATGGATAAATGAACATTTATTGTTTGATCACAAGTATTCGTTTCCAGGACTTGTTGCTGCCGTGCATAGGCGTGCTTTATCACTAGCATTGGTAAACTTAAACCTAATGGATTGTAAACGAAAAAGCACGAGAAATAGGTACAGGTACGTTGAATCAGCTGATGTGTAATTAAGTCCTGTCTCAACCCCTGGACACTCTACAAATGTATATATGACTTTATTACATTAAATTCAGTGACGAGTTGATTATACTAGTGGAGATTCAAAGAAAGATGGCCACGTCATTGAAACGGTCGGTTACAGGTCCCTGTTCCATAACTCGATATTAGCCGCAGCTATCAAAAGTCTGTGTTAAAATATGGGAGTTACGATCGTCATAGCTTTAATATCGCTTTGTTGAACGAGGCCAGACCCTTACATGCAGTAGTAACTCGTCACAGAATGTGACCGTAGAGTGACTGGAACAACAGATCAAAATATTGCAATACTGAACTGTTTCAGGTTCAGTCAGTGGACATATCATTAGTTTCGGATCTCCGCAAAAAGCGGTCCGAGTGCTCAATGTTCCTTGCATCAAGTCCTATCATCAAACTCGGAAGCCCTCATAAGAAGTTCCAAAAACCAGTCACAGTCACACTTCCTGTTCCCCCGAACCCCTCAAGGCTCAAGAGGCCTGGGACGAGCGTAAACAGGGAAGAGACGACGGACAAAATAGATACTCGTCCGGCCACTGCCAAACCAGGAGTCACCTTCACCAAGAAGGAAGGTGGGTAATTCTGATGGTGAATTTTGTGATGATTTTGAAAAGAGTGTGACCAAACTCTAAACATACGTTATTGTGTGATAGAAGTTATGCCCCTTAGACAAATCAGGATCCGCTGTTTGGCAAGAGTCACCAAGCAAATTCACTGAAGGATTCCCTCCCACAAACCTCGTAGGTAAAACTGAAATACAGTTTGAAGCGGTTTTAAACTCCACACTTATTCACTTACAAGTTCAATATTCCGCAATTGTATTAAAAACTTATCAACATTTTATTGCAGAGGAGACACCACTAGACGGCCTCCATCTTGTACATTGTCTCTCTGATGGTACATGGGCCAAGGTCACCAATGTTACATTAGTGCAAGCCAAGAATAAAGACATTGTAACGTTTGACATCAACCAATTATACGAAAGGTATGCGCCCACTATAAAACCAAGATAACGCCTAAGTACCAGTATCGGGTTATAAACGTTTTTATTTAACCAGCAGTTCGTTTGTTTCCATTGAGCATGGTTACATTATAGATGGATTAAGTTCAACTGTTATTGTTCCAGGTTCTCAATAATTAGAACCAAGCTTGATGCAACAATCGGACAAGTTGAACAGATCGCCACAACCCTCAATGAGGCAATCCCGCACAGAACTATCCAGCTGTTCCTCCGACAACACAATGAGAACCTCAGTGAGATTGTCATCTCATGTTCTAATGTGTCTCGTGTGGACAGGTCTCTCCGTAAGCTGGAAGACGAGGGCTTCGAGGAGGGACCATCTCTTAGCAAGGAAATATCTGTGAAAGAAGGCCAAGTCATTGATCTCAAATTCAGGGGAAACCTCCAACCGGAAACAGATGAGTTTAAACAGCAGTTTGTCTTCAATTCACATATACCATGTCGAGTGGATTTCACTGTTCAAACGGTCGATGCATTTGCTCAGAAAGGTTTTGACAGTTTCCGTGGATTTGCTCAGTTGTTCACAGAAGGTTTCGTGCCCAAAACACTTCCTCCAGTGGACGACAACAGAGAATCAAAGCGTGGGAGTACACAGAAAGCTCAGCCACGTGTTGTCATGGTGATAGGAGAGGTCCTCATCTCGGAGTTACTTATGACAATACCAAAGGTATGGTTATCCAAATGATATACCACATGAAGCGTATTTGTTCGTTTACACAAATGGTATTTGCAGATTCAAAAGATATATGAAAATCAAAAATGAAATTAACAGTTTATTTTTAGTTAGTTGATACTGACATATCATTGATTACTTTTTCAGCCCGAGCCAGAACCTCCGAAACGCTTGTTAACAGCGCCTTTATCGAATGCATCAGATGGTAAAAGAATCATATTGTTTGTTTTGTATGTCAATCGTAGTTAATCCAACGCTGATGCCTATCTTTCTTAACACTTCAAAAAGAAAATTGTGTTTGGATCACGGACGAGGTATACATTAATTATGAATTATTTAATTATTTTTTTATGGTCACTGAATCGTTGGCATGACAGAATGTAGGGGCTTATTTGTTCCAATATGACTCATGTCAGTGGAATGGTTTTGAAAATTCGAGCGAGAAGACCTCATCAGTTTACTAACGTGCGCTTTCACATAGTAGCAGTAGTAAAGCGGCCTATTCGCGCCCACCCCATACCTGGTAAGGTTACATGAGTTATTTCCCTTGGTTTTAAGGCCCTGTTGATAACGAACTGCTGCTTCGGCTCGCGCGAGAACTGGGTGATGAGTGGAAGAAGATGGCCCAGTACCTCAACGTCAGGAGGACGCGTATTCAAGCCATCCTCAGACAGAACGTCAACAACGACAACACACACAAGGTTTACGACATGCTGACGACGTGGTCTAAGCGATTACCGAGGGCAGTCGACAGGGTATGTTCAGTTAATACGGACGATCTGCAACAGGACATGCGGTCACAGTGATTCATCAGGGAAGTGTTTGAGGATATGTTATCCCATTTTGTAAGGGCACGAATGGCCCAGTCGCCTAAATTCGCTTTGCAGAGTTGCTTCCCTGGGGCACGCCAGAAACGTATGATTGTGGGTTTGAATCGCCCAGATTGAGGCTGACACGCCGTGATATAACTGGAACACTGTTCAAAGCGGCGTTAAGCCAGCTTACTCATACGCTCACTTCCATGTTGGTTGGCCTCGATGGAAGTGTATGTGGTACGAGCATGGTTGTGTACTTGGCACTGTCGTCTCTGCCTCGTGTAGAAGTCTGGTGGAATGCCACATTTTGGTTTTAGGTTGCAATGTTTCATGTAACACTGTCTCTGTGATGTATGCATGTTGTGCATCGCTGAACATGTTTACACGACTCGCAATGCTCGGTCGCTCTTGTGCATAAGTTCCTATCTTTTTTTCAAGTAATAATATTGCCATTTTTGAGCATCTGCCACCTTAACATATATATTGTTTCCATACATTATAAGCAAGGCAAGACTGTAGACTGTGCGATGAGTATGGTTGTGCATGGTGATTGACACATGATTGTTTCCCTGATAATGTGCAGGTGGATATCCTGTGCCACGCTCTGATGTCTTGTGGCCGAGGAGACCTGGCAGCGGAACTCAGAGACAGGAAAATTGAGTTCAAACGTCAGCGATCATTTAGTGCTAGAGGTAGGCAATGGATTTCACTTCTATTTGATTTCACAACAGAAGCTATTCCCTTCTTACAATATCCACATAGAAAGCAGCAACTGCTAAAGTGGAACAGTCAATTCAGTATGCAACTTGAACAATCTAACAATCATATGGAGATCAAGCATTGGACGTAATAAATGTCATATTTTTTTGCTGTAACATATGTTATATCTACGAAGATATTATAACATTTCCAAGTAACTAAAAGCAACAAAAGCCTTCCCATTTTCATAAGAAGTCTCTGCTGAAAATAAGGTCGATTGTACGATTCCCACTATATCATGTGGTGTATATAAATCACTTTTTAATAGTGATAATACCAGGTGTTCGCGAAAAGGGGAGCGTATCCTGTCCCACCTGTGGCACCCGTCACAAACACATACAAATTAAAGGCAAGGGAATTGTGCAACTGAAAAAACACACGGGAACATATGCACAAGTCCAAATAGGGAATTGCATTATGTTTTACACTGATGTGTCACATTTGGAAATGTCCTCCACATGTTTACCATTACAGATTGAAAGTCGCGACACGGCACTATTATCAATATTTTGTACAGATCATACATCGATCATATTCTAAAATACTGTCCCAAGATTTCACGTCAATAACACATTATATTATATGCAGTCAAATTGCCATACTGTTTTCATCGATCAGATTCCTACCTGCGGAAGGCGTTTGTGAAGATAGCGCGAGATCAGAGCGTGATAGCGAACTGGAAGCACTTTGCGAGGCGGTTGGGTGTGAGCGAGTCGGATATGGTGGACATTGAGAGAAGCCGTCCCACCAGCCAGGACCGGTGCTACTCCAGCCTACAACTCTGGCGGGAACAGAACGGGGACAACGCCACCCTGGCCACACTCTCACAGAAACTCAGAGTCTGCAGACACAGACAACTTGCAAGTATGGGAACTAACCTCAACATTTCAATCTTCATTCTCATCTTCCCCATTTTCCTAATCCTCATCCTCGGCATGGTTGATGTCATCGTGTTGTCTTACATTCCTTCGTCTATTCGTCTTAACACTTCTACCAACCTCTGGCTCTTTCACCATCACCATCATAGCTTCACATAAGCATTTATGTTTATGAACATGTATGAAATTGTCTGCATGTAAACAAATTTTCTCATACTCTAACTTCTCTACGAGTATTGAGATATTCACCATTCTTTTTATGTAATTGCGGGTATTAATGTTTTCACAAGTCCTTTAGTTACGTTCAACCACATTAATATTCCTAATATTCTTTTTTTTCTGTCAACAGGGGACATTGAATCGATTGCCTAGATGATCGTCACCGTGAAGGAAACATACTCTCAATCTAGACCACAAGCAATATGTCGAATATGAGAATATTGTAACAATAACCTGTTGCCAGCATAGGACATAGCAACGTGTTCATAAATTGTCTACTAAGATGTATTCAGGAGAATTATATCCTGGTAGGCATGACTGTTAACATTAGAGAGAAACAGGACCTATTCGTGACAGTCATTACATACGTTGTACATTAATTTTGCAAAGGGATATTATTAGCCCTATTGTTAGGTTAACTGTGACGCTACTACGAGGTCATTTTCTTAAGTTAATTCAGTCTGTACTCTAAGATACTCTTTGTAAAGTTAACTTTGTCACTACCATAGGGTTAATATATTTTCAGTGTGCTTTGTCAGTATAGAAGCTGTTTATCGTTTAAGAACATTGTCACGTTTCATTTATGAATTAAAAGTAAAATGGTGACATATGTTTAGGCACGCTTAAACTTCCTTCAAAATACTACAATGCACATGCTTATACCAATAGCGCACGGCTGTGATATAAATGTACGGTAGTTTTTTTATTTGACCTTCGGACGATATTTCGTCCTATATATGTGACAAAGGGTACCTGTCACGTTTATTGACATATAACGGTTTATTTTTAACATTTCCAGTAGCAAAGAAGTATTGACTGTGTGAAAGTTATTCGTCAAACTATTGATATTTATTTACTTTGTAGTACTACATGTACATGTATTTTCAGTTATGATTTTTTTCATAAAAGGAGATATTATTATATTCTGTTGAATTCCAATTGCCAAATGATTCTCCAGTATTTGTAGATTTACACATGTACTTATAAATTTATAAATAATCTATCCTGTTATACGTTTAATTGATCATATAGATGACCATGCACATGTATACAGTTATTGCAATAAACTGTTACCCGTTTCTAGAAAACACCGTGTCTTAAGCTTCATCACACCATGGTCATTGTAACCTAAGTTGAAGATGCGTGGTGGTATGATTGAGCGAGTTGGGTTTACTGCCGCTTTGAACAGTATTCCAGTTTGTATTCTAGTATTCAGTTTGGTGTGGGAGGAAAGCCTTGAGTCATACACATACACAAAGTTACATCGTCAAAGATAGGAAATTGATTGTCTTTTATTCCAATTTTGAGACGCTTGCAGCAAATATTTCGTGATTGTAAACAGATATGGTTCACGTCCATAGTTAAGATGACTAAATCGTGTGTTTCCATATAATAGTACGTCCTGTACCTGAAACCCTCATCCTGTTTCAGACATATGGGTATTCTTCCATTCCACTGGGTATCTGGTTTGCAGGATAGAGGTCTAACTTGCCGTGCTGGACATCAACTGTGATTTCCGATGGTGCCATTGTTATAGTGTATATATGCACTTATATTTTCGGGTACACGGTCATTCCCCCTTAAGTATTCATTCTGAACAAAGATAACATTACTAAACATGGTGACCATAGAAATAGTTACATGTCTAGCTTCAAGGACAATGTCCGCTGAAGTTCTCCGAGAACAAATGTGTGAAATGATGGTCGTCTTCATTGATAAGTTAACGTATATCTGAAAATTGGGGATAATACATTTATAAGTTGGCATCCCCATGGGCACCAATTGTGTTTACCTTCTTGTTGATTTGTTTCTTTAAGCATATGAATCGTAATTTTCGCTCGGATTGGCAAAAACCAAACAAGGGGATTTGGCCAAGAAGTTTAACTATAAGTTTCAGCTATATCGATGATCTAAACGACTGTATGACAAAATGGATGACTTCATGTTTCCAATAGTTTACTTTCTAATAATGTCGGGCAATATTCCAGCAGCTCCAGCCTTTGGTGTATGCATTTCACAAATTTCCAATCTTTTACGCATCAGTGAAAAAAAAGGATGTCAGATGCAAATCCTCATTTCACTTGTTCCCTTGTTTTTCTTTTCAGGTGAACAATTGATTTGCCTTGAAATGTGTTTGTGACAGGTGCCACAGGTAGTGCAGGATACGATCACCTTCTCTTGAAAATCCGGTATCATCACCATTCATAAACACATGCTCATGATATAGTTGGAATCATACCTTGGACAATGGGTATTTCTAAGGAAAAGGAAAGAATGGTGTGGCTTTTATTTATATCCCGATGTTCTGTTGAGGAGAGGCACCGTGTCCCTGATGATGTTCAAAAGCTGATAAAGTTGCCTTTGAGCTAGTTCAATTATAATCATGATCTTTTGAGAAATGTCGAGGTCCTATGCTAACGTTTGAGACTGAGCGGAAACATGAAACGTCAACGCCAGGGAATAACCAATCTCGATTATCCGACGAAACAATTTCCATTGGGCGTGAAAGGCAAAATGGCACTGAAAAATATATGAATGGATCAGTGAATATCAGTGATAACACCAGGGGCGGTCGGGTAGCCTAGTGGTTAAACCGTTCGCTCGTCACGCCGAACACCCGGGTTCGATTCCCGACATGGGTACAATGTGTGAAGCCCATTTTTGGTGTCCCCATCCATGATATCACTTGAATATTGCTAAAAGCGGCGTAAAACCATACTCATTCACTAGTGATGACACCAGGTGTTCGTGAAAAGGGGCAAGCATATCCTGCCCTGCACCATTGTTCATAATCTTCCATCTCAGAAGAAATATTACATCCTCGCCTCGTCATTTAGGTACGTTTGGTTACCTCGTATTGTTGGATGAGTGTCTGCATTGGCTGCTGACTGGAGGCTGTGATTTGGGGATTAAGGACTTTACGGTGTACTGATTGATTAAGAATTCCCGTCCCTATGACCACACCTGACCACCCGATCCATTAAAGAAAGTTCCAGTGAGTAAGGCGAGAAAACGCCATGTGAAGGTCAAAGCATGAGACGCATCCTGTTGACGAACGACGTGTCTTATTGACTACGTTCCTCTGAATGTGTAACCATAATATTTCCGGAAAGGCTTGATCAGTTCTTTGATGGCGGAACCTTGAATTGAAAAGTTTACATGTAGTTGTAAGCAATAGATGCCTTTCAATGAAAGACATCTTAAGTTCTTAAGTTCTTAAGTACTTAGCAACTGAGAAATGTAGAAGCCATCAGCTGAAGCTGATGGTACTTTGCTGGGCATGACGGGGCAATTCACGATTGGAAAATCGAAATCATCCCACTTGTTGCAGATCATGGTACAGGGGCTGTCGTTATTTTTAATTTATGTGCACACATCAAGATGTGACACTGAATATGGTTTCTTAGTTGTTTCTTTCCAAGGCGTGTACGTAAAGACAGAAAATACTGTTTAACTTCCATCAAGTAGACTATAGGGTCCTTCATGTTTTATCAAGTAAGATAGGGTAATGAATAAAACATCACGTGGTGGATTCTGATATTCGAAACCCCCTCCTTAATCTATGGGTTTGATATATGAAACTAAAACTACAATCGTAGACAATCCGCTCACTGGCGTCCTGTCAAATTACCAGCGAGAATACATTATGATTTAAATTTGCTGTTGTCTGACGTGCTCGTGAATCATTAAGCTGAGTGGCATTTGAACCTTTCTGACAGACTAGAGTTTCCTTCCTCAAACATGTGAAAGGTATTCAGGGCGGATTGCTGACAATGCATTTTGTTAATATACACATTAAATTAAGTAAGGGGTCATATGCAAGGACGTTTATGTCTGTAAAACGTAACACCAAAACGCATCCGATATCTTGCACGTGCTGCACGCAGTAGCGCCACTTAAATGTGTTTTATGTCATTCCTGACTTTGACACTTACAAGACAGGTCGATTAATCTCCGAACATTTTCTGTCAATCTTATTGATTATGCTTATGATGCAGTTGTGATTTACTTGATTTCATTGATTGTTTGTGTATAAGCGATGAGGCGTCTACGGGGTATTGGCTGGAAAGTCAGCAATACGTTCAATGTTTCGCAGTCTGGTTAGCAGACTATGGAACAGATACAAACAAAACCAAAACTGTCGACCCCAATTAAAAAAAAAAATTCCTAAAATACATTTACCACCACAAAAATCACTTACACATAACCTTATTTATATTTTTAATTTTAATCAATGAATCATGTTTGAAAGTATAAATATACGTCATGGAGTACTTTCTTATTGTGTATTTACTCAAGAAATACTGTTTATATATCAGACATAAGAAATCGATATATCTCTTGAGTTAATAACATATTTACTATTCTAGAGACTTGAACTGCTCATGGGATATTCTGAGCATCAATCCTCCTCAATGATACAATGGCCAACATTTCGGAGAAAAATGCTTATTCCTTCATCATTCACCTGATAAAGGAGCAAGCATATACTCCGCAACGTTGTGTTCCTCATAATAAAGAAGTTGACATCCATATATTCTCTTCCTTATGTGTATCACTTCTAAATGCCTTTCAAAGACCTTCGCGTAAAAATACTGTATTTAGTCACGTTCAATAGTGACGTCATCTGGTTTGTTCTATGACGTTTCCGTATTTGTAAAAGTGGGTCAGTGACATTCGTGTTGATTGCCTTCGTCGGGCAGTTAATGGAAGACCTCGGGCTTCTGCTATTAATGCCCTGAAAAATAGCGTTACCCTTATAACATTGCTGAACACAGTGAGCCTGTTGAAATTATATCATCATGAAATATGACCGTCTGGACGAGCTGATGTTTTTTTATGTAAGTTAAAGGTTTCTAGCTAAGGCAACAGATGAAGACTGGATCCCTGCGGAGGTGTTTATAACAGTAGCTATGTGAGTTACTGATTGAATTAATTTGTTTAAAGCCATTTTAGTAAGGTTCTGCTTCCAGAAGCATGGAACAATGGGAAGATCATTAGAATATCATTGTATCAAAAGGGTGACCCAAAGGAGCCAAATAATTATCGGGTAAATTCACTCCTTAATGTAATGGGTAACTTGTTTACAATTATATATAATTGAATCAAGATTGAGTAAAATGAATAGAAATGTATATAAGATACACGACTCTCAAGCAGATTTCTATAAATAAACATGTATTGCGTATATACGGCTTCCATAGATGTCAGAAAAGTTCTTGACTTTGGACAAGAGGAAACAATTACTCTTTTTATAGGTGAAGAGTGTAGTTGTCACGGTTGAATGTATAATATTGTTGCCAGAATGTGTGATTGTGTGAAAGCATGTGTAAAGTGCAGAGTTATTTTCCATGTTTTCAATAGTCAAGCAATGCTGTATACATCTATTCATCTCATTTATTATGTTTTAACAACACCTCATGTATTTGTATTTAGCGGACCTTATTAGAAATAGTGGACCTTTAATGCTGCGATACAAATGGTATTAAAATTGTACTTAAATGAACAATTACATATATTTGAAATACTCCAAGGCGTGTGACACTTTGGCCAACCAAGCAAAATGAATATGATGCCAATCATGCATATGTTTTATAAATATATAAACCGGTTCATTGAATGTTGCTTGTAAATTAAATAATCTAAAATTGTATCAATCTTGACATATAGTGCTGAAAATATGAGGCTTTAAATTCAGAGATAAAATTGTTTCATTGTTTATCAAACTTTTTTTCTAATATAAACATTCAATCATGCTGTGTGTTGTCTTCAGTCAAAATATTAATCCCAAAGCGAACTTTAGTATCCTTAATCAAATGTTTGAATATATTTTATTTTCACCTTTTCATCCGACGCTTGCAGCAAATTAAAAACGGTTCTCGTGAAAATTAGTTTTTTTGTGAAAAGTGATGGCTGCAGGAGGACCCAGGCCACGTGTTTGGAAAGTCAATAGGTATAGGGTGAAAGTGATATGCACTTCCTCATAGGTTGGTTTATTACTTATTATCAATTGCCGTCATGGTGTTCGAAACAAGTGGGCCCACATGTGTATATCGCTAAGCTTCGTTGGGTGGGTTTAGTGCTGATAATCAATATCCGTAAAACCTGAAAATTAACTCGAAAATTTGATTGGAGTCGGTGGCTTTCCACGGAGAGTTATTGTCCTTTCTTTACTCAAGGATCCCATTGATGCCTTTCTCGAAGATTCTGGTCTGCACTTAAAGTTCTGTGCGGAGCGTGTACACCTTTGCCGCCAACTTGCCTCTGTACTTTTTCATAACAACAGGGAGATCTCGTTACTTTTCTATCCCTCAACATTGCCGAATTTGGGTAACTAGCTTGCGTGTACACCTTTGCCGCCAACTTGCCTCTGTACTTTTTCATAACAACAGGGAGATCTCGTTACTTTTCTATCCCTCAACATTGCCGAATTTGGGTAACCTGCCTATCTTCCACATGTACAAATTTCACAACTATAGGTTTAGGAGAGTTTTTTGTACGGCCATTTGTAGTGTGGCGTTACAGCCGGTGAATGTTTGCAACATCCAAGCCGGAAGTAAATCCCAGGTCCGAGAAAAGTTTCTGACACGCTATACCTGGTTGTTCACTGTCGGGGCTACCATAGACAAGCACGTTTTGTTTTCGGGAATACATTTCTTGTATAAGCAGTTTATTTTCCTATTCTTTTCTGATATCAGCGAACTCCTATCTAATATTTTCAATTTCGATATGCTCAGTGTTCATCTCGATATTTGTACTAAGTTATCAGTCACATCACGAATTTTCACTATTATCTCATTTATTTCTACCGTTTTTATATTCACTATTGCATTTATACTATTCGATTCGCATGAGGTAAGGCATCGCGAAATGATCATTATTTAGAAAACAAATGTTTGTTATAAAGTTTGTTATAAACTATATTCAAACGGATATCGGAGTATGAAATAATAACAGGTCATATATTGATCAAGGAAGTTTGTCAACGTACTTTCATATCTGTCACATGATCACCATTGAGTGTACACTTTACTGCCTTCCTATGTGCTATGAACAAATAACGCAAAGGCGATAACGTTTGAGGTGATAGGAACCACTTCAAACTGCAGACTTTGTGAGAGAGTAGTATGTGAGTTTAGCAGAGTTATCTGTTTCTCAAACCAGTCGTCGGCGACAGGGATCTACTTCACACTGGTCGTATCTGAAACCAGCCGTGATTCTCGTCCTTAATGCACACGACAAGTAAAGGTAGGGAAAGTTGACACGACAACGAATGTTTATTCTGATGGAGTAACCCTGAAACAATTCGATATGTGTGACCTGTTAAAGCAGTGTAGGTTGACATCCTTGAGGTTAAATATCCTTGTTTATTCAAAATGAAATTAGATACCATGCACATGTGAAATCCAGTGCATCACCCCGTTTCTGAAACCCCAGGGAGAAGTATTAAGCCAAAACGGAAACATACATGTACATGCACAAATTCCATGAAGCATCTTTTCACTTCTTTTTTTCATTTTGACTAAAAAGGTCAATTTTCATAACGTATTTCATTGGTATTATTGGTCATTTGGTTTTCGTTTTGTCAATGCATTGGTGTTCAAAATGGCATCCGTTATCTCTGCGTTCTAAATGTCCATGTCACCACAGCGCTTCCCTCTCACTTAATTGTCCGGCTTCAGTCACCATTCGGCAAAGTCCGGCGGCCGTCTTTGTCCAGTGTCTTGACATTCATTGTAAGAGTTCTTATTCTCTAATTGTTTGATCGTATATTTTGATCATGTATGTGTTTGATAGATTTTATCTCGTATATGTATGCAAACTTATTCATGTATTGAAATTGTTTTCGTAACTTTGATTTTCACGCAGGAGCGGGATATTTCTCATGTATTTATGGTCATTTGTACCTCCTCAATAATTGTTCTTATCTGGTTGTACCGTTGGATAGCTTATGTTCAGCTATTCAGTTTGGTACCCATTTCTTCCGTATTGGTGTAGTAGCTAGTTTGCTCCGGGTTTTCTCTATGTTTTGTTACTATACCTGGCTATTGCATTCCCCGGCTGACCAGAACAGGTTGTCCTCTTCGAGGTCCGCTCACGCGTATATAACCCTCGGCGAAATCACGGGTCTTCATCGACAGGGATCGCTAGACCGCATAGGGGTCGTCATATTACTGGGTGGTCATTCGAAACTCAGGTTTCGGTCGTAAGTAATTACGCGGCACTTCTAACTGACTTACCCTGGTTTTGTGGAATTGAGCTAAACATATTAGCTGGGGGTTTTCATACTCCGTTTTTCTGACGATCACCAACTGGATAACCAACTTTCCCTCGATTGACTGGTTTAGGTGAAATACCTATTTACGACTGTGAGTCAGGTGACTATTTTATTCAAGTGCCTGTTTTTAATGATTGTGAGTCAGGATACCCCGTAGAACAAGTAGTCTTTAGTCTGTGAGACTCGTTTGATATTCAGGCATTTTCGTCTATTTCATTACCAAAGAGATGTATTTCTAAGATAGGCCCTATGTGTTTGTTTCCAATGTGTTCCATGTGTTTAACCCAGCCGAGTCTATTCCGAGTTAATTAAATCTCATGTGTTAATTGGTCGTGGCCGATTTAACAGGCTGTCTATGCACCTTGTCAATTACCCTGTCAAAGTATTGATTTAGCTAGCCCCTTTTGTATTACTTTATACAGTTGCTTAGCTAATCAGCTTGTATATTTGTATATGATCGTTGTCAGTGTAAAAAAAGTATCCATTGTATTACCATCTATAGTTACAACTAGCTGATAATAAACCTGTGAACCTTTTATTTGGTAACGCATGAACTGATGTATACAAATAGATCAGTGTTGATATGCCTCTGTCACATTACGTATTGCATTGCTGATCCCATTTCAGTATGGAAATGCTCGGTTCACGTGAATTGAAATTGTTCCTGTTCGCATTTCCTGTTGAATATTAACAGGATATTATGCAGGGTGTGTTGACAATATTGTTAGACTAATCATCAATAATTATATTTGTTTTCATAAGCCAAACTGTCAAATATTCCTTATTTGATTCTTAATTTCATGGCGTGAATGGATGAAACAGCCTAATGTGGGAGGAAAGCGCGAAGTCTTAGATGTAGGTCTTAGGTGTTGACCACATGAGTTAAACGCATTTTTTTTCTAGAAATCGAATTCACGACATAGCGTTCTGGCACGCGAAAAGAACTCAATTCGTCATGTTGAATTGTGATGCTTTAGAGGATCCGTTCACATTAATATGTACTTCAATCTCAACCTCCAGTGCCCTATTCATACACCAATCTATCCCCATGAAATACATGTAGTCGGGTTATGTATTTCTTTATCATTTGTTATGTCTTTAAAAATCCAAATTGTAATGTAAATATTCTATATTGTTTTACTCGTACGCATATCATTATTTTGGACGTAGTGATATTCAATGTTTAAACCGAGGAAAAGTTTTGATATTTCCTTCTCTGTTTTCTGTATAGTGACGCGCTCACTCGCATTCTCTTTTCTCTGACCACCGCCGTGTAGCTGGTCATCATCAGTGGTTCGCATATAGAGCCATAGCGCATACTTCGAGGTAAGAAATTTAGCCAGTGATACATCCGCAAGAGCCAGGTCTTTTGCGATCGCGCTAACTTCCGGACTACGCCGCACAGAGTTTTTTTTAACCTCCTCCCACTGTTGGTATGCTCGCATTCTTTGACTATATAGTTGATTAGGCAAACCCTCGATAGTGACTTCTACTTTTGTAATCTTAGGGTTGTAGAATGCCTCGGATTCTCTGGACCATGGTTTAGAAGGGTCTCCAAACAACGTTAAAATATGCTTCACTTATCAAGCAGGCACATTCAGATTGATGTTCCACGTCGTACCACCTTTGTCCCTGGTGATCTTACGATGGCGAAGCACACGGTCATACAAAATGACTGGACTTCCAGTATACTGATTACGAACGTGTCTTGCTAATTCGGGATCTGTTACCATATCATACTCCAGTGAGATAGTGTCAACAAAATAGCTTGCTTCTGTGTCATTAGTGGCTTTGATAACTCTGTTGTAGTCATTAAAAGTGAGTTCATATTCCTAGAAATGATTGATAGGACATGTGCTCACTGGTAATTTAAAGTCAAGTGGAATATAGAAGCGGTTACCTAATGCATCAACTATAGTCTTATCTTCTTCGATGGTACGATCACCACCAGCAGAACCTACTCACAGTGTCGTTGCATTCCGATTAGGTCTTGTGTCAATAACTAGATAATGCTATAATTATAAGTTTTCCTGTTCTTTTGCTGGTCGCCAAACATCCATGTAACAGTAGTATACATCACTGTCGTCAAATCTCAAGACCACTTACCAGTAAGTTGAATCGTGATTTCATGATCAAGGAATGAAGTTCTTCGATAAATTTGTCGTGTGTATGTTGGTGGTGTACAATAATAAAATATAAAATGTATTGACACAACTGAAAGTGGTATTACTCTGAGTTTGCAAAAAATCGAGAAAATCGTTTTTGAGAAGTCTCATGGTATCTATTTCACTTGTCTCAAATACATGTACTTTCTGTGAATATATGGTTAATCTTTGAGACAGCGATTTGGTGGTACACGTGTTGGACCAAGCAATATATCCCTCTGTGTACGGATTTTAAGAAGCTTTGGTATTCAGTACAAAAAAGGAATGGACAGGTCTTCATATTTTAGCGTCAAGTAATAAGTTGATAGTAAAGATGTATGGTTTTCTGTGGTCTTCTGTGTGGCATTATTTGATATGTCCCTTCCTCTACCTACACTAACCCCTAATTGCACACATGCATCAAACATCTACTTCCACCACAAGCTGCACAAGTGAATGCATCACTATTTCAAGTGTAGGAAAACCTTGGTTTTTATCAGAATATAAACATTAATACAATCAAGTAATACAATCAAGGAGAACGATAGGATTCTGCTATCTTTTTATACGCTTTATTACTTATATGTCTGTATTCGTTATTTTCGCAATGCCATATTGTCAGATCGCTACTGATGTAATAGTCACAGGGATTATGCAAGGTAACGTCGCTCGTGTAATTTAGCATGATATAAACTGATTAAAGAATTGCATTCACCGATCATTCACCCTTTTTCGCTTTCCAGGTACCATCATGTCCATCAGAGGTCATCAGTTTGGTAGTGACAGTTCTTGTTTCATTCATCCGCTTTTCCATTTCTAGGATACCAACATATGCATGTGGTGATGGACACTGCGCGTGTACCACAACATGTGCGGACTGCAAAGGGAAGAAATTGACCTTTATACCAAGAATTGATGCGGGTATAACATCACTAGATATCTCAAGAAATGTCTTCACAGCCTTATCACATGCTTCATTTGTTAATGTAACAACGCGGAATATAATAATCTTGAAGATCCGTGACTGTAAAATCCAACATCTGGCAGCGGACACATTCGAAGGATTCACAAATCTCACAAAACTGTGGATGGATGACAACCCAGTTTCTATTATCTCTTTGATTCCTGCTTTGACTACTTCAGAGTTCCCGCGTATATCTTTATTAAATGCGAGCCGTCTGAATATCACTGACATGATATTCATCCATTATATGAAGGCAGATCGATTAGAGCATATTTATCTTCGTCATAACAAAATTAGTGTTTACAACCACTCTGTATTTTCGAACAAAAGACATATAGCAACAGTGTACGTTAAATATAATCGCATTAGTCAACTTACATTTGTTACGTCCATGTCATTTCAAAGGTTTCGTATCTCCGAAAATATGATTACAGCATGCCCTACATTTTGTGAAAACGACGGTGATACTCCAATCTTTCCAAACTTAAGGTATTTGGATCTTGGTTACAACAATTTGCATGATATCAGTTATCTTTTCAAATGTCTGCCCAAATTGGAAACACTTTATCTAAATGGAAATCCGATAGTACATGTGTTCAGCAATACTTTTGTTAAACTCCCTAATTTAACTATACTCTCGATGAGATCTCTGCCATCGAAACCAGACATTGAATCCTATGCGTTCAATAACAGTCATCTGAGAGAATTATATCTCACTAACAGTCATTTATCTTTTGATACACATGTCCATGAAGATGCTTTAAGGGGCATAAACCTACATATCCTTGATGTAACGGCAAACAGATTTAGGGATGTGACAGAAGATCAAATGCTAAATTTCTTTGGACACTTAAAATACGTACAGAATTTTGGTATGGGTTCTTGTCAACTTCAAAACATTCCTCGGTTCCTTTATAGACTGAAATATTTGGAGAGTATTTCTTTGTACAGTAATATAATTTCAAACATTCCAGAAGGTAGATTTTCCAATCTGACCCACCTGAAAAAATTATGGCTGGACCAAAATAAGATAGCTTCTATCACTGAACATGCCATACCAAGAAACATACGAGAACAATTATCTATCATTAATCTAGCAGACAATCCTTTCACCTGTGATTGTAATCTGAGGTGGTTTATCGACTGGGTACAAAGAAACAGCTCCTTATTTAAGCAGTACCCAAGACGATATGTATGCAGCAGCCCTAACACTAAGAGACACATAATGCTAAAGGATATTCATTTCAGTCCGAATGCTTGTTACCTTATGTTAAATACTACCATAACTGTGTTAGTAACCCTCTCAGTAATCATATTTGTTGTATGCTTAATATCCTTCCTGTATAAGCTTCGGTGGCGTATTCGTCATCTAATTTACATGAAATACTACCGCTCAAAACGACAAAGGAATCCAGCAAATATCCAAGACTATACATTCGATGCCTACGTAATTCTCAGTGATGAGGATGAAGACTGGGTGGTGGACGAAATGATCCCCAAACTGGAGGAACAGCATCAGCTGAAGCTGTGTATTCCCTACAGAAATTTCTGTTCAGGCTACATCCTTGACAACATCGACTCAGCCATACAGACAAGCCGCCACATCATCGTCGTCCTGTCCCCCTCCTTTGCTGATAGCGACTGGTGCCAAGCAAGTTTGACGATGGCTCAGACCTTCGTCCTGGATACTAGAGCTAACCCTCTCATTACAGTGCTACTGGGAGAGCCAGACGCCCGTAATTTGAGTCACTCCCTACACAAGCTACACCGCGACACGGCCCACATCACATGGGGGGAGGAGGACGATGCAAGAGAGACATTTTGGGGACGACTCGTGGCAGTTCTCAAAATTAATGAGAATCAGTGCGCATGCGTTCCGTTGAGGGGTTTGAGGCTTCACTCGACGAAATATAAATCGTATTCGACAAAAAGCATGAAGTAGCCACTATATATACATCGCATAATATCTATATTACTTCTTACATTGTCGCATTAGTTTCATGATCTTATGTCAATCTCTTTTCCTTATTTACACTGTTCAGTTGTGAATAAATTTATTCAAACATTGCATCATTCTTTTATTCATTTATTCATGCAGTTTGTGTTGGCGCTATTGAAATGTAATGGTAACTGAATTCCTAATAATCAAGCGAAACAGATGTGTTGAAGTAGGTTTCAGGTAGTCAAGCTTTACTTCCTTATTTTATAGGTGGCAAGCATTGTATAATGCCGCTACGTATACATGAGTTGACAGAGATCAACCTAAAGTTTCCTCATAATACAGATATGCAGATAAAGTGTACTGGGTGTAACCCTTGGATGCCTGGAGGGAGATACATAGACACATAAACAGACGTTGTTTATGCACGCACGCACACACAACTTCTGCATTCGTCTTCTCTGTAGCATTTTATTGTCATTCATTTTATGTCAATGCAGGGTGATTAAAACTACTTTCGTTATTTGTATTGCAGCATTTAATAGAGAAATAAATTCCGAGGACACAAGTCATCTTTGGTATTTGTACTATAATAACATATACCCCAGTTATCCACATTTTAGCCGTTAGCATACGTTGACTTTAGTCATTTATACAGGCCATGCGACTTTCATGAATTTTCAAGTAATTTTAAACCATCTTGATGACATGTTTGGAGTTATCTCTTTATAATTTATATGTTTAATTTATAAAACCAGAGCAGGTAGTATTTTAAACATCTAAATTCCGAAAAGCCGTACTATAGTGAAATTCACAGTGCAAAAAGGCGGAGACAAACATAAAAGGTTTTGACCACTATATATAAAACATGATTCTTTCATAACTGATTCCTTTTATTAAATTAATAAGAGATTACCAGGTAATATGAATTGAGAACAAAATAGAACTCATTACAATTGTGTATATTTGAGATGAATGACAGACGGAAAGTTGCAGATCATGAATGTTCACACTTTTGTAATCATATAAGCATTCAAAGCTCGTCACTAATATCCAACCATTGCACTGGCGAGAAATGGTCCTCGCCTGTCAACTCGTTTTATATTAGACAGGAACCCAGTCTATGATTGCACGTGTGAATTACATGAACATATTTTAACCGAGTTCCACAGATATAACTCAATGCAGAATTAATATAAACTGTTTATGTGATTTAGAACATAGTCAACACATATTTGCATATTGAACTTCAAAACAATATTGGCGGCAGGATAGTAGATCAATGGCTAACGTGTCCCTGGTTCGATTCCCGCTGTCGGCACATTGTTTGAAGCCGATTTAAGTGGCCCATCTGCGTTTAACAGCTAAGTTAGAGCGGCTATTACAGAACTGCATGCGAAAAAACATATTTATTCTTATATATTATTTTGACTTATGACAAATACAGTCAAACAGGCCGTTTTTATTCAATATTTAAAGGTCATCCGGTCAAAATATACGCAGAAAATAAGATTAAAGCGCACATAAAATATTGTATATTATGAGATTTACCTAATATTTTTGCATATTGAAGTTAGTTTACACATTTTAGGATTGGGTTAGTCGGAAACTTTTCATTTCTATAATATATAAAGGGTAATCAATTTATTACCAATACTTCAGGTGCAATTATATATCAAAGCATATAAGCTATAGGCATCATCAAGGGTCGTAGACGAGTATGTATGTGGTAAAATCTAAGCTTTCTCATATCTGACAAAGGTAGTTAATTAACGAAGAAAGGGCAACCGTAACAGTAGCTGGCCAAACTATGAACGTGAGTGAGTGAGCATGGTTTTACGCCGCTTTCAGCAATATCCCAGCAATATCACGGCGGGGGACACCAGAAAATTGGCTTCACACCTTGTACCCATGTCGGGAATCGAACCCGGGTCTTCGGCGTGACGAGCGAACGCTTTAACCACGAGGCTAAACGGGTATGGATAGTCTACGGGTATGATATGTAATATACTAAAGAGGTTCCACTGGCACGCCCTATAACGGGTATGAGTTGTCTACCAGTATCTTAATAACATACTAAAGAGGTTCCACTGGCTCGCCCTATAACGGGTATGAGTTATCTACGAGTATCATAATAACATACAAAAGAGGTTCCACTGGCACGCCCTATAACGGGTATGGATAGTCTACGGGTATCATATGTAATATACTAAAGAGGTTCCACTGACACGCCCTATAACGGGTATGAGTTGTCTACGAGTATCATAATAACATACTAAAGAGGTTCCACTGGGAAGCCCTATAACAGATATGAGAAGTCTACGAGTAACATAGGGCATGGATAGGTTCACGAAATCCATACATAACATGAACAATGAACGTTAACAAAGATGTTGCAGCAATAATACAACTATTCTGTGGCTGCGGCCTGCAAGTAGTCTGGACGAGACGGATGAACAGTTGTGTTCGATCTTCGCCTAATCACAATCAGTCAGGATTTGCTGGTTACCATCGGATTCCCATGGTAGTCGGCTCTTGTGGCAAGTTGCTCTAACCATCCGATTCCTATGGTAGTCGGCTCTTGTGGCAAGTTGCTGTTACCATCCGATTCCCATGGTAGTCAGCTCTTGTGGCAAGTTGCTGTTACCATCCGATTCCCATGGTAGTCGGTTCTTGTGGCAGGATGCTGGTTACCATCCGATTCCCATGGTAGTCAGCTCTTGTGGCAAGTTGCTGTTACCATCCGATTCCCATGGTAGTCGGCTCTTGTAGCAAGTTGCTGTTACCATCCGATTCCCATGGTAGTCGGTTCTTGTGGCAAGATGCTGGTTACCATCCGATTCCTATGGTAGTCGGTTCTTGTGGCAAGTTGCTGTTACCATCCGATTCCTATGGTAGTCGGCTCTTGTGGCAAGTTGCTGTTACCATCCGATTCCCATGGTAGTCGGCTCTTGTGGCAAGTTGCTGTTACCATCCGATTCCCATGGTAGTCAGCTCTTGTGGCAAGTTGCTGTTACCATCCGATTTCCATGGTAGTCGGCTCTTGTGGCAAGTTGATGTTGCCATCCGATTCCCATGGTAGTCAGCTCTTGTGGCAAGTTGCTGTTGCCATCCGATTCCCATGGTGGTCGGCTCTTGTGGCAAGTTGCTGTTACCATCCGATTCCCATGGTAGTCAGCTCTTGTGGCAAGTTGCTGTTACCATCCGATTTCCATGGTAGTCGGCTCTTGTGGCAAGTTGATGTTGCCATCCGATTCCCATGGTAGTCAGTTCTTGTGGCAAGTTGCTGTTGCCATCCGATTCCCATGGTGGTCGGCTCTTGTGGCAAGTTGCTGTTACATGTACATGTTCTGTGGACCTAGTCTGTCCTTGAATCACCACGCCTCTCTCCTTGATCCGAGAACATTATTAATTCTAAATATGTCACGCTAGCGGCAGTGTGTGTAGTTCGCGAGTAAGGCTATTCAGAAATGATTGTATATGTGGCCAAGGCTCCATGTCCTCAAACCGGGACGTCATTACAGTGTATCATAGAGGATTGTAGTCAGTGGTCATTGTTTGTCAAGCCGATACTGGCACCCACAGAAGGCGTCATTCATGGGATAGAGTTACCCAGTATGCCCTCAACAAACACTGTACTTTTGTGGTCGGTGTCACCGTGTCAGTCGCAAATAACTTTTTGTTGAATTGAAAACGTCAACGCTATTTATTACGTTCCGAGGTCTATTTAAAAGTGTCCTGTAACTGGACGTTCTGGCGACTAGTTTGATACAAGCAAATCCCATTTCGTTTTCAGCGTTGACTGTTGACAGTTGCTTGGGCTTCTGTACAGTCTCCAACAGAAACGCGTTACGTCTGGTGCTCAGACAAGAGGTTTTGTTCGAAATATGCTTCTGTTCACCCTGCAGTGAAAAGGGTACCTGTTTGGTAAGTGAGTGAGTGAGTATGGTTTTATGCCGCTTTTAGCAATATTCGAGCAATATCAAGGCGGAGGCACCAGAATTGGCTTCACACATTGTACCCATGTGGGGAATCGAACCCGGGTATTCGGCGTGACGAGCGAACGCTTTAACCACAATACTACCCCACCGCCCTCCCTTCAGGTAAGATGGTAATGTGACATCATAGAGCCTCACACGCAGCTTGCGATGTGTACTGCCAAGAGTAGATGGGAATTAGTAGTAGTCGTAAATACAGATTAAAATAAATAAATGCAGCAAAGAGGGTTGTGGGTGATCCTCAGTCAGGCTGGTTAGGCTCATCATCAGCTCAGGGCCCTTGCCTCCTCTACACGCCGCCCAGACAGCGAATGGAGAAAAAAACGTCCACCGGTTAGCGCTGCCTAGTCGAACCCACCCAGAACTTCCCAACACTGAAGCAGAGACTGTATACGTGCTTATTCCAACGAATTTTGTCTTTAGCAATTTCCGTGACGACTTCTACATATTCTGAGTCGTACCATTGATAGACAAACCACAATCATCGCGAAGACGGTAATAAACGTATCGAGTTACTCAATCGTGTTCGCTTACGATACTGTGTTTGTCCCAAAGCTGGGCATCCACGGTCAATGTGTTGGACAGTCTCATTAAATACATTGCATAATTTACATTTCATATTTACATTTTGATGCTGTGTTTGGTGCATTTTGAGGGGTGTTGGGTATCTGTGCTGAGGAGGTCCAGGATGATAACCTTCCTCATTGCTAAGCAAAAAGCTTAAGGATTTAGTGACAAACATAAAAGCAAAGAACTTAAATAATCGTCCTGAAATATATTCCTCTTCTAATAGAATATGACACGGTTGATTGTACCCTTATAGCCCTGTGGATCGTTGCCCATTCTATCAAGCGATGACCAGTGTCTGGCCCAGACTCGATTATTAGCATGTCCCCTAGAATGGCTGGACCGCTGCAATTGGACATACACTCTATGCTCAAAAACCTCAAGAAACGCAGTTCGAAGAGGTAAATATAACCTTCAGTAATAATTTAATATTCACCTTCCCGAACATGGGTATGGTGCTGACAAACCAACGATCATAAAAGTTGTGACTATGGGATTCGAACAAACGGATCAGTCGACCCTGGACAAATCTGCACTTGGTCAATCGTTATTTCCCGTTTAAAGTAAAGGGACAATATTTATGTTATGATCTTTGTTTAATATTTAATATTGTGATGTGACAGCGAGCAGTGAAGTTCTATGATTATCCGCATTACGTAACATTTGCGTGACATGACATTAAGTGATCTCGACCCATTAAGTCACGCGTCACGAGTTATTTAAAATGATTACCTATTATTTATTATTTTAATAAGTATAGAATAAAAAAACTTTAAGATGTATTTGAGTTACTATAGCTAACTGACAAACAACTCATATATTCGTAATGATATAGAAAACGTTACAGAAACCCAATCTTTTATTTACGAGACAGGTTACCAGCCTAACAACCGTGTCACTGATACAACCAGTACCGTGGGCTTGGCTTCACACAACCTGACCTCGCTACTATGTCAAGTTACAATAAAATTAATCAATAAATTGTTGACTCGCGTTTAATGAAATGCACATTTGATCACCGAGTACGTGTTCATAAAAATATATATAATAGATTTAAAGTATTCTTTAATATCAACCTTATGTCACAGCAACAATCAAATTCCAATTTGTAAGAGGTTATATCTACAATAAACGCCAAAATGCAATGTCAATAAGATTAATAAGAAAGTGAGGTAAATTACATTATTAACGACATAAAAGTGTCGAACTTGGATTGCTACAGGTTTTAATAATAAGTGCAATATGGAAAATTATACACACTGCTCTGCATAAAGATAGATAATTCTTCCAATGTACTGTGTCTGCATGAAAGGTACTTTTTGGGTTACTCGTAAACAGACGAAAAAAGATTTTGACATAATCAAAAGCACAAGCATATATTGAACATGATGGAGGATATTATTTTAACGTATTTTTAATCACAAGCACAAGCATTGTACGCTGAAATGTCGAATCATAAGCTATTATGATATATGCATGTATACATATGTGTATGTATAAATATAAAATAATTCACCTTCGTATTCTTCCCACAAAGTGCAAATACCTCCGGCAATACAGTCAATGACCTATCGATTTTCCTACATGAATATAAACGACTTCAATAACCATGTGTCTAATGAGAAGAAATGCTCCCTGATACATAACAAGCAAAGCCATGCCATTCAGATCGTGCTTATGAAACTTGCCCCCGTGTCATATGAAGGTACATATAGAACACTCGGCATATTCAACAGGGTGGGTGAGATTGGCGATCTAAGAACACGGTCTGACTAACGTCAACCAGAAACCTAGTTAGCTCAGTTATATCATTGACACAACTCCCTACCACATGGTTGAAGAATATCTTGACTCGGACCCCCACTCATCTGTTGCCTAGCACGCCCTCCGGACAGCCTAAACTTGCCACCTGAACAATGTACTAATACAGAAGGGCCATTGATGTGTATGTGTCCACCGTACGATTGATATAGACGTCAAGCGAGGTTTTCTACACCGCTGGCAGGGACCCAAATATCGCTCATTCAGTGTGTTTACATTAAATCACTGTTGGGGAATAAATAGGCTATTGAACACTGCCCGCCGCGATAAGGGCTGACACATGCGCAGAACCCTGCTGGTTGACTTGAAAGGCAGCTATCATTAATGGTGGCTGTCGAGGCAAGGTGTATATGTACCGTAATGATTGTCTGACAACTGACGGAAGGTGTACTCCTTATATCCCAGCTTCATGTAGTCCTACGGCACAGTAATGGTAAGTATTGTGGAAACATCGCGGTAAAATATCAAGATATGCTAGTTACAATGTGTGCATATGTTTCAGTTATAGTTAGAACAACAGGCTAGGGTTAAGGTACTCAACAAGCTCCTGTGTTTGACATAACAGTACTACCAAGTGTGACAGTATGCATTTTCCCGGCTTATGTTTGTGAATGTACTCTTAACCTATATGTAAAATGCGACCATGATCGATTAATTAATTAATCTTTTGTAAACTCTGATTATCAGAATGCAAGCATATTGTTTAATATTCCTGTTCCAATGTTACCCTTTTCGAAGTTACACCAACATCCCAGTTTCTGCGGGGGCCTAGTGGTTAAAGCGTTCGCTCGTCACGCCAAACCCCGGCCGCTTCATACCAAAAGACGTAAAAAGATTGTACTTGTTGTTACCCTGTCTGGCACACGGCATTAAGGGGCTAAAACAAGGACTGGTCGGCTCGGAGTCAGTATACTGTGTCTGAGTGGGGTATTCATGTTAAACTGCGGCATGGTATCTCAGTGTGCTAGCACTATAAATCGGCAACAGTCCGGACTAGTACAAGCACACACACACACACACACACACACACACACACACACACACACACACACACACACACACACACACACACACACACACACACACACACACACACACACACACACACACACACACACACACACACACACACGTCGCTATATAAGTGCAATAATCTTGTCCAAATTATTAAATCTCTCCTATTAACATTAATACCTTAGTTTGGTCTTAAATAGTCGTACTCCAGCTTGAAACGCTTGGGTTGTCTTAACTTCAGTTACTTTATTGCTGTAGTTGTTAACATGTTCTCATAACAAAGTATGTTGTTTAATATTAGGCTTGTAATACTGCGCACTTAACGCCATGCATAGCGATCTGACCCACCACATGGCTTATTGACTCATGATCAAGGCGACGTCTCCCTGGTAAGGTTGCCGACTATTTATGTGTTTGGGGCGTGCTACTGTGTTTCATCGGAATTTAGATTTAGTTTTTACCCGAGTACTGAAAACTGAACCTGCCGATACTGAAATATGTCAAAACCAAACTCTGGCTAGTCTAAATACCGGATCAGGGATGCGAACGTTGTGTTCGTATAATAACAGCAAAAGACCCACCTCCCGCTGAAATATCACTAATCCTGACCACTGTATAAATCGAACTTTATTTTTGGTCCCACACAAGTACGGTTTCGACCGCCCCCATGGTGCTTTTGATAAAGAGTCTGCCCGGAGAGCCGAAGTTGATGGTTCGATCCCCGGTCGCGTCATACCAATAGACGTTATAAATTAAAAATGTGTACATGGCGCTCGGCACTGAGGAGATAAAACAAGGATTGGTCGGCACGGAGTCAGTATACAGTGTCTGAGTCGGGTATATAAGCGCAATACTCTTGAATGCCAAGTTAAACCCAATTTCACCTCACCACCGAATATGTATACTATCATATCGCCCCTTAAGTGGCTTGTCTGATTTCTACAAGATCCTACTGACGAAGGTCGATATCCATAACGGAGACTGGAACACTGTGAATGAAATGAAATAAAGTTATAGGGAAAATGTAAAGTTGTAAGTACATTTGTATGTTCATATACAACTATACGCCGTTAACCCCAGCGGATCCGTACCCAGTAAGATTGTCCGGATTAACGACTTCTCGTTATAGGGTCATGTTCCTCTGTATTTGTACCGATAGGAGTAACATGTTCTGGCCCAACGTTGTTTGTTCTGTATATTGGGTCATGTTCCTCTGTCTTTGTACCGATAGGAGAAGCATGTTCTGGCCCAACGTTGTTTCTTCTGTATATTGGGTCATGTTCCTCTGTCTTTGTACCGATAGGAGTAACATGTTCTGGCCCAACGTTGTTTCTTCTGTATATTGGGTCATGTTCCTCTGTCTTTGTACCGATAGGAGTAACATGTTCTGGCCCAACGTTGTTTCTTCTGTATATTGGGTCATGTTCCTCTGTCTTTGTACCGATAGGAGTAACATGTTCTGGGCTGACGGTGTTTCTTCTGTATATTGGGTCATGTCCCCCTGTATTTGTACCGATAGGAGAAGCATGTTCTGGCCCAACGTTGTTTCTTCTGTATATTGGGTCATGTTCCTCTGTCTTTGTACCGATAGGAGTAACATGTTCTGGGCTGACGGTGTTTCTTCTGTATATTGGGTCATGTCCCCCTGTATTTGTACCGATAGGAGTAACATGTTCTGGCCCAACGTTGTTTCTTCTGTATATTGGGTCATGTTCCTCTGTATTTGTACCGATAGGAGTAACATGTTCTGGCCCAACGTTGTTTCTTCTGTATATTGGGTCATGGTCCTCTGTATTTGTACCGATAGGAGTAACATGTTCTGGCCCAACGTTGTTTCTTCTGTATATTGGGTCATGTTCCTCTGTATTTGTACCGATAGGAGTAACATGTTCTGGCCCAACGTTGTTTCTTCTGTATATTGGGTCATGTTCCTCTGTATTTGTACCGATAGGAGTAACATGTTCTGGCCCAACGTTGTTTCTTCTGTATATTGGGTCATGTTCCTCTGTATTTGTACCGATAGGAGTAACATGTTCTGGCCCAACGTTGTTTCTTCTGTATATTGGGTCATGGTCCTCTGTATTTGTACCGATAGGAGTAACATGTTCTGGCCCAACGTTGTTTCTTCTGTATATTGGGTCATGTTCCTCTGTCTTTGTACCGATAGGAGAAGCATGTTCTGGGCTGACGGTGTTTCTTCTGTATATTGGGTCATGTTCCTCTGTCTTTGTACCGATAGGAGTAACATGTTCTGGCCCAACGGTGTTTCTTCTGTATATTGGGTCATGTTCCTCTGTCTTTGTACCGATAGGAGTAGCATGTTCCGGGCTGACGGTGTTTGTTCTGTATGTTGGGTCATGTCCCCCTGTATTTGTACCGATAGGAGTAGCATGTTCTGGGCTGATAGTGTTTCTTCTGTATATTGGGTCATGTTCCTCTGTCTTTGTACCGATAGGAGCAGCATCTTCTGGGCTGACGGTGTTTCTTCTGTATATTGGGTCATGTTCCTCTGTATTTGTACCGATAGGAGTAACATGTTCTGGGCTGATAGTGTTTCTTCTGTATATTGGGTCATGTTCCTCTGTCTTTGTACCGATAGGAGTAGCATGTTCTAGGCTGACGGTGTTTCTTCTGTATGTTGGGTCATGTCCCCCTGTATTTGTACCGATAGGAGTAGCATGTTCTGGGCTGATAGTGTTTCTTCTGTATATTGGGTCATGTTCCTCTGTCTTTGTACCGATAGGAGCAGCATCTTCTGGGCTGACGGTGTTTCTTCTGTATATTGGGTCATGTTCCTCTGTCTTTGTACCGATAGGAGTAACATGTTCTGGGCTGATAGTGTTTCTTCTGTATATTGGGTCATGTTCCTCTGTCTTTGTACCGATAGGAGAAGCATGTTCTGGGCTGATAGTGTTTCTTCTGTATATTGGGTCATGTTCCTCTGTCTTTGTACCGATAGGAGTAGCATGTTCTAGGCTGACGGTGTTTCTTCTGTATATTGGGTCATGTTCCTCTGTCGTTGTACCGATAGGAGAAGCATGTTCTGGGCTGACGGTGTTTCTTCTGTATATTGGGTCATGTTCCTCTGTCTTTGTACCGATAGGAGTAACATGTTCTGGGCTGATAGTGTTTCTTCTGTATATTGGGTCATGTTCCTCTGTCTTTGTACCGATAGGAGAAGCATGTTCTGGGCTGATAGTGTTTCTTCTGTATATTGGGTCATGTTCCTCTGTCTTTGTACCGATAGGAGCAGCATCTTCTGAGCTGACGGTGTTTCTTCTGTATATTGGATCATGTTCCTCTGTCTTTGTACCGATAGGAGTAGCATGTTCTGGGCTGATAGTGTTTCTTCTGTATATTGGGTCATGTCCCCCTGTATTTATACCGATAGGAGTAGCATGTTCTGGGCTGACGGTGTTTCTTCTGTATATTGGGTCATGTCCCCCTGTATTTGTACCGATAGGAGAAGCATGTTCTGGGCTGATAATGTTTCTTCTGTATGTTGGGTCATGAACCCCTGTATTTATACCGATAGGAGTAGCATGTTCTGGGCTGACGGTGTTTCTTCTGTATGTTAGGTCATGTCCCCCTGTATTTGTACCGATAGGAGTAGCATGTTCTGGGCTGACGGTGTTTCTTCTGTATCCTGGGTCATGAACCCCTGTATTTGTACCGATAGGAGTAGCATGTTCTAGGCTGACGGTGTTTCTTCTGTATATTGGGTCAAGTTCCTCTGTCTTTGTACCGATAGGAGCAGCATGTTCTTGGCTGACGGTGTTTCTTCTGTATATTGGGTCATGTTCCTCTGTCGTTGTACCGATAGGAGAAGCATCTTCTGGGCTGACGGTGTTTCTTCTGTATATTGGGTCATGTTCCTCTGTCTTTGTACCGATAGGAGTAGCATGTTCTGGGCTGACGGTGTTTCTTCTGTATATTGGGTCATGTTCCTCTGTCTTTGTACCGATAGGAGAAGCATGTTCTGGGCTGACGGTGTTTCTTCTGTATATTGGGTCATGTTCCTCTGTCTTTGTACCGATAGGAGTAGCATGTTCTGGGCTGATAGTGTTTCTTCTGTATATTGGGTCATGTTCCTCTGTCTTTGTACCGATAGGAGTAGCATGTTCTGGGCTGACGGTGTTTCTTCTGTATATTTGGTCATGTTCCCCTGTATTTGTACCGATAGGAGTAGCATGTTCTGGGCTGACGGTGTTTCTTCTGTATGTTTGGTCATGTTCCTCTGTCTTTGTACCGATAGGAGTAGCATGTTCTGGGCTGACGGTGTTTCTTCTGTATGTTAGGTCATGTCCCCCTGTATTTGTACCGATAGGAGTAGCATGTTCTGGGCTGACGGTGTTTCTTCTGTATCCTGGGTCATGTCCCCCTGTATTTGTACCGATAGGAGTAGCATGTTCTGGGCTGACGGTGTTTCTTCTGTATATTGGGTCAAGTTCCTCTGTCTTTGTACCGATAGGAGTAGCATGTTCTTGGCTGATAGTGTTTCTTCTGTATATTGGGTCATGTTCCTCTGTCTTTGTACCGATAGGAGAAGCATGTTCTGGGCTGACGGTGTTTCTTCTGTATATTGGGTCATGTTCCTCTGTCTTTGTACCGATAGGAGTAGCATGTTCTGGGCTGACGGTGTTTCTTCTGTATATTGGGTCATGTTCCTCTGTCTTTGTACCGATAGGAGAAGCATGTTCTGGGCTGACGGTGTTTCTTCTGTATATTTGGGTCATGTTCCTCTGTCTTTGTACCGATAGGAGTAGCATGTTCTGGGCTGATAGTGTTTCTTCTGTATATTGGGTCATGTTCCTCTGTCTTTGTACCGATAGGAGTAGCATGTTCTGGGCTGATAGTGTTTCTTCTGTATATTTGGTCATGTTCCTCTGTATTTGTACCGATAGGAGTAGCATGTTCTGGGCTGACGGTGTTTCTTCTGTATGTTGGGTCATGTTCCTCTGTCTTTGTACCGATAGGAGTAACATGTTCTGGGCTGACGGTGTTTCTTCTGTATATTGGGTCATGTTCCTCTGTATTTGTACCGATAGGAGAAGCATATTCTGGGCTGATAATGTTTCTTCTGTATGTTGGGTCATGAACCCCTGTATTTGTACCGATAGGAGTAGCATGTTCTGGGCTGATAGTGTTTCTTCTGTATATTGGGTCATGTCCCCCTGTATTTGTATCGATAGGAGTAGCATGTTCTGGGCTGACGGTGTTTCTTCTGTATATTGGGTCATGTCCCCCTGTATTTGTACCGATAGGAGTAGCATGTTCTGGGCTGATAGTGTTTCTTCTGTATATTGGGTCATGTCCCCCTGTATTTGTATCGATAGGAGTAGCATGTTCTGGGCTGACGGTGTTTCTTCTGTATGTTGGGTCATGTTCCTCTGTATTTGTACCGATAGGAGCAGCATGTTCTGGGCTGATAGTGTTTCTTCTGTATATTGGGTCATGTCCCCCTGTATTTGTATCGAGAATGAGTAGCATGTTCTAGGCTGACGGTGTTTCTTCTGTATATTGGGTCATGTTCCTCTGTATTTGTACCGATAGGAGTAGCATCTTCTGGGCTGACGGTGTTTCTTCTGTATATTGGGTCATGTTCCTCTGTCTTTGTACCGATAGGAGTAGCATGTTCTGGGCCAACGGTGTTTCCTCTGTATATTAAGAACCTATGTATCTTACACGTATCACGTTTTGAGTAGTTAGATATTGATATACGTTTAAGCTTTTTTCAGAAATAGTATTAATGCAACTGAGATTATTTCATTCTACTTTGAACTATCAGTATCTAATAATGATAGGCCCATTGTAAACCCGAATATGTATATACGTTAAAGGCATATGCACAGTAAGGATTTTTCATATTTTTACCCAAATAAATATAGTCGAGGAAAAACATTGTTGCACATTTTCATCCATTTGATACTACACCGGCTTACGTGTATTAACCATGAGCAGGTTGGGATACAAAGTGACGCTCTCATACCGAACCGAATCACAACGGTGAAACCATATCCAATCGGGTGATACAAATGTACATATCATATTAAATCACCCGTATGACGAAACCATGGATGACGGAAGTCCGGACCAGCAGCCTTTCTCTGTGTGTATATCACCCGAGTGATATGATGTATTTTTAACATGAAGCAATCAGGGAGTCTCGCCTAGAGACGTGGCCTTGCATTCTGACAAGCCATTCATAAAACCATACCTTATAACATATGCCCCAATGTTCATATCCTGCAGTATACTTCATATTTTAATATATCAAAAACATCGTAAAACGATATGCACTGACAAGTCGTTATCCCTTTTTCAAATTGAAATATTTCACGTGTGGATTTGTCCAAAGTAACTCATAATTTGTTGTATATTGTCATAGAGTCATGGCGGCACTTAACATTTTCCCATAATAGCTATATTGTATCAGCTAAATACACCAAGATCACAAAATGTTCTTTTCCTCAGGACGGTTCCACTCACGAGCATATGACAATGTAATGGCAACCCAAAATTCTTTCTACCACGAACGCCGCAGTGTTTAACAAGTGCAAAGCGATTAAAGGACTCAACTTGCACGCCACGATGATCAATCGCGTATAGAATATTTGAAGATAAGGAGCTGGAAAATATTCCAGTTAACACAGAAACGATAATGATCCATGCTAATTTGATCCCTTCTTTGCAAGGTTGGATAAGATCATATCTTTAAATCTCGACTTGACAGTCGGTAGTGTGCACTTGTGAATACGTTGTCTTTACGCACACACGAATAGTTCACCTCTGTGGTTAAAGTATAGACGACCTGGTTTGTCTGGACGCAATCAAAACGTTTTACAACCCAATCTGCAGTGGGTTTTACTCCAGTTGTGTTAAGGGGTATAAAGTCATTCCACTCCGTGCCTTTTCAGTACCATTACTCTTGCGTGTTAAATACAGCAAAATGTCTCCACGGTTTTATGAATGACTGTTCAGATTCGATTTGAAAATATAACTAAATTTATAAATTAGTTTTCCTTTAGTGGTTCTTGTTATATAAAAGCGATTTCATAAAGACAAAAATATTAATCATGTTACTCAATTCTCTCAATACACTCAGTATCTATAAAAGAAATCCTTTAATATTGTGTAGGGTAATTAAAACATGCATTGATCTTGATGTGGAATTTCCTCGGAGGTAATGAAGGATCATTCCACAATGGCAATTAGAAACTAGAAAACAAATGTTTGTAACCCATATTGAAAACATGCAGTAGAAAAGTCTCTTAAGGGTTGAAATTAAATGACTATTAACATATATCAATTCAGAAGAATGTGTGTAATAAAATATGTACATATTCCAACAGTCTGATAAAAGTATTCCATGTAAATATATTAATCATAAACTGGAAGCTTTTCAATCCCGTTTTTGTTGTTCAAGTCAGAATTTGTCAAAGAAACTCAGCGGGGTATGTGTGCATAAAATGATAACATATAACACAATCTTAGTCCACACGACATAGTAGGCATAAACTATCTGCTTTACATTTAACGGTTGATCCGTTAGATTTAGATAGACTTGTGAACGCAGGGGCCTCTGGGTCTTGGTGTGTGACATGACATTGGTAACGCACTTGTTTACTGGAGTAAACCGCTTTTTGTCGAAGTAAGTGTTAGATAAACGAATGCATTGTGCCGTTGGGGACATATATAGAATTACATTTGACATTAAATCAAACGGATTAGAGTTAATCATTATAAATAAAAGCGACACAACCCTTCAAGATTAATTTATTCATAAAAATTCTCTGTCAAAAACCGAGTCGATTGTACGATTCCGACGATATCAGGTTCATAAATCACCATCAAGCAGGTGGTTGCGGAAAGGTGAGCGTATCCTGCCCCACCGGTGGCACCAATTACAGCCACATGCAAAGTAATATAATTGTTACTTATATTTTCAAAAAGACTTTAAACAGTCATTCCTAAAACCGGGAAGAAATTATTCAAAACACAAGAGTAATAGTAATGAAAAGGCACAAATGCTTTATAACCTTTTACTTTAGGAGACAAGTCAGATGTTCACCTGAGAAATACGGGAATGTATGGTACAAGCCAAAATATGGAATACAATCGCACATAATTTTGGTCACTGGTTCGTCAAATTTTGACATGTCCTCCTCGGATCGTGTCTACCTTAAAATCTTTTGAAAGCTTTACTGATGCCTTGAATGTTGTAATCTTGATCAAACAACTTTTCAGCAAGTTTGTTTGTTTGTTGTTTTGCGTCGCACTCAGCAATATTCAAGCTATATGACGGCGGGCTGTAAATAATCGAGTCTGGACCAGACAGTCCAGTGATTGACATCATGAGTATCGATCCACGCAATTGGAATACGATGACATACGTCAACCAAGTCAGCGAGCCTGACCACCCGATCCCGTTAGTCGCCTCTTACGACAACCATAGTCACCTTTTACGTCAAGCATGGGTTGTTGAAGACCTATTCTACCCCGGAATATTCACGGGTCCTTTTGAGCAAGAGTCGAAAGTCACAATGTAATTGTATAAATCTATGATTTACGTCGTTTTCTTTGTCAGGTTTCTGATAAGGCCAGTTTAGTGGAACGAGTATCAATACGTAAGTATATCTGATTTTCAATCAAGTTTTCTGAAATAGTCGTCCATCTCCTGTTGATCGACAAAAAATAATTTTTAAAGCGCAAAAAAGATGATTGGTATGATGTGCCTTGCGGCATCGATCGTTAAATAGCTTATAGGCCAGTCCACAACATGGTAACAAAACAAACAAGGCTGAAAATATATGCATTTTATTCTTAGACACACACTGATTGAAGTAAATGACTTATTTAATTGAGACCTTACAGTAATGAATGTTATATATACGTAAAATCTATTTTATTTGAATACTATCTTTTTTCTTTTTGCAGTGGGATGTGTGATCTTCATTGGACTCTTTGGAATCGTTAAATTTGTTTTAGGTTGGTATACTGTAGCCTCTTTTTCTTGTTCATTGCACGTTAAGACATGTAAGATATACATTACACATTGTTTGTTAAACCTAAATTTGGACAATGAGTATGGCATGTCATTAAAGTAGCAGTTTGTAAAATACGCGACATCGTGCCTTTCGCTGAAGTAAATGTCATTTACGCGTTGTGTAAAGTAATTCATAAGCACAAGCAATGGCTAAAATAGCCCACATCACATCGCTAGCATTGAGTAATACAGCCTATATCACATCGGTAGCATTGGGTAAAACCACAAGCATTTGATAAAATAGCCCATACCACTGTGCAAGGAGTGCACCAGCTTACCCTATTCTGTTAAGCACACCATATCACCACATCAAGGTTAAGTGTGTCGTAAAACAACATTGGGTTAAAGTGTATCAGAGCACAAAATTGGGTTAAGTGTGTCATATCACCTCACTGGGTTTAAGCGTGTCATATCACCATATTGGTTAAGGTACACCATATCATCACATTGGAGTAAGTGTGCCATATCATCACATTGGATTAAGTGTGCTATATCATCACATTGGAGTAAGTGTGCCATATCATCACATTGGATTAAGTGTGCCATATCATCACATTGGGCTAAGTACGCCATATCATAACATTGGGCTAAGTACGCAACATCACCATGATGGGTTAAGTCTGCCATATCACCACATTAGGTAAATCGCACCATATCACCATATTGTGTAAAATGCATCATTTCACCACAGTTCACCATGTCATAGCATTGGGGTAAGTGTGCAATATCACCACATTGGTAAAGCTCACAATATCACCATATTAGGTTAAATGTACCATATCACCACATTGGGTAAAGCGCACCACATCACCATATTAGGTCAAGTGTACCATATCACCACATTGGGTAAAGCGCACCACATCACCATATTAGGTTAAATGTACCATATCACCACATTGGGTAAAGAGGGGGGGGGGGGCACGCGTGGCCCAGTCGTCTAAGGCGCCGCGATTCGCTGTGTAGAGTTGCGTCCCTTAGGCACACCAGAAACCTATGATTGTTTCTACCGATTATGTTTCTAGGTTTGTCAGCACCATCCCCGTGCTCGTGGGTTTCACCGAAGTGGTTAACGTCTGAGACCTGCATCACGTCGGGCTTTCCTCCCACATTAAGCTGACAAGCCGTGATATAACTGGAATACTGTTAAAAGCGGCATTAAACCAAACTCACTCACTCACTCATTGGTGTGTGTCACAATGTAATCTACTCTTAATGTAATTGAATTGCGTTTTCATAAATAACCGAACGGCTGCGTATGTCATTGATGTATTACCGATATACATGTAAGTATGTATATCCTTAAGGCAGGTTGCTGATGTGGAATTCTTCTGAGTAAGTAGAGGGGCGGTCGGGTAGCCTAGTGGTTAAAGCGTTCGCTCGTCACGCCGAAGACCCGGGTTCGAATCCCGACATGGGTACAATGTGTGAAGCCCATTTCCTCCGCCGTGATATTGCTGGAATATTGCTAAAAGCGGCGTAAAACCAAACTCACTCACTCACACTCACTCTGAGTAAGTAAGTTGCCTTAACACCGCTTTGAACAATATTTCAGTTATATCATGCCGCGTCGGCTTGTAGTGAGGGGAAAGCCCGTAATGATGCATTTCTTGGACGTTTACTACTTTGGTGAAACTCACGAGCACGTGTATGGTGCTGACAATCTGAGCGAATCTAGGATTACAACCTACGATCTTCGGTTTCTGACATGTCCAGCTCTGCACTGCTAATCGCGGTGTCTCAGACGACTGGGCCACCCGTTCCTTCCTAATACTTCTGAAATATTTCCTGTGATGAATGTACACGCTCGAAAGTGACATATTGATACTGTCAGCATGCCACACTGCTTCAGCAATACGCTAAGTGTTGCCGTGGTTGGCTAAGTAGGTTACATAAGTAGGCTTATCTGCATAACGAATTACAGGCTGAGTCAGTCCTCGATCAATAGATAGGATATCTCGTGTCCCTTAAACACCTTTATTGGTATGTCAGGTCGTCGGCATTCACTGTAAGGTGTATTGTATCGGTGCAAGGGGTGTTTCACTTCAGTGCACTAATACTGTGCACGTACGCATGACTTGTAGTTGGCACAAGTCCAAGAACATAGTACAGTCAAAGTTGATATTTTTCAGAGCGATATCTGACATTTTAGCAGATAGTTCATGCACACCACCCTCGGCCCCCGTCAAGTTATGTTGTAGAATTGGTCATCAGCAACAAACTTTTCGTAATCGTGGGATCGTGGGGTTAGGCTTTCTGACTTGGTTAATGCCTGGCATCGTATCCGAATTGCGTAGACCGATGCTCGTGGTGTCAATCACTGGTTTTTCTGGTCCTCGATTGGGTTCCGCTTCGCTAATAATATTTCACGGTATTTCCGTTATATCACGAGGTGCCGAGAAACATAATCAAGGCTAAACTTGATTAGTATCCGCATTTCTTGGACGCTTAAGGGACGTAACATTGCACAGTGAATTGCGGATCCTTGGACAACTGGGCTACTCTTGTAGTGAGTCAATAAGTGTGTGGGTAAACGCCGATTTGAAAAGTATTTCATTCGTATTGCTGCATGTCGGCATGTGTCAGTAACAACGATGGCGCGGATAATACAACTCTTACAACAATATCGTTGCAGTGTTAGTACCTCGCTATATTATTACACATGGACAATGCCTATTTAAAATCTTGTGCATTACAACTGTTCACATATGTACACATACACATCTCTAATGCTGACGGGGTTAAGCAGTCATCCGTAGTAACGGGAGCCCGTATTTCCGAGGAAAGGAACATTATATTTTTTTCCAGAAGATTGGGGAAAGTTTCATAAATCAGTCTGTACAAGACCACGACAAAGAGCTTGTAGAACCACACCGAGATATTCGACCTTGCCTTCTTTGGTAGGGTTATGTCAGCAAGAGGTCATATGGCCAGGCTCATTATGAGGGTCCATCATTCACATTGCGTCCTCGAATTAAACGTGTGCGTCATCACGAACATGTGATGTCATAGCTAAGAATGTGACCTCCACATTTCTAGGTCAGGATTTACAAACAACAAGGACCGTTGTCCTTTAGATTAATGGAGATTTCATGTTAATCGTGATGTTTATTGTACAGCGAATAATTAATTATAACTACTTTTATAATTCCCTTCAACTTCAACACTAACCTTTACATGTTGTTATTATGTATACATCTAGTTACTTTGAGTCCCTTGTCTTAGGCGTACCAGAAACCTAATTGTATGATCGAGGGTTTGAATCCAAAATCGACTGATCCTGATTCATGGTTTGTCAACACCATACCAGCTCATGGGTTTTACCACGTGGTAATCGTCTAAGATCTTCACCACTACGGACTTCCAAGCTGACACTCGGGGATACAACAATTGTACAAAGCGGCGTAAAAAGACATCCACTCACGTCGAACAGAGTAGACTTTGGTAGTCTCAACATGTACAATGTGTATGTAAGATTCTCTTTGTCGCCGTGTTGTGGACACAGGTGGCCCAGTCATTATAAGCTGTGCAAAGTGTCGTTCATTATTAAGCATGTTACACTTTCTAACGTTTACATATACAAAAGTAGATGGACGGCATAAATCACTTTTCTTTTATTTCTCAAATATTTACCCAATGTACATTTCCGGAAACCACGTGGGGATTCGGGGTTAGAATAGGTCTCATGCAACCTATGCTGGTCGTGAGAGGCGACCAATTGAGCCGGGTGGCTATGCTTGGTGAATTGGTTGAGAGCGTGTTCTGGTACCCCGACGTTGTGGATCGTCGCTCAAAATATGGATTACTGGATCGTCTGGTCCAGTCTCCATTATTTACAGGCAGCCGTCATGTAGCTGGAATATTGCAAACACATAACAAACAAACGGGCAGAATAGGTATCTAATACGTATACCCCATGTAATAGCTGACTCAGAGTAGGGTCCGCTTGTTCCAATAATTTACCTGTCTCAGTGTCTTCGTACCCCTGATTGATGACGTGGGCTGATGTTCATGTTATCGACCACTGGTTTGATTGACACGGCCTGAATTAATGACATTCTCTGGTTATGTGGCCATAAAATTAATGAAACTCACTTATTGTAATCTAGAGAAGCACGGAGGCTCTAAACCCTGCCAGACGTGGGGTTCTCTTCGGACTTCAGCAATAAACCGCCAAATCAGTTAGTTGAAAATCACATGTCCAAAAGAATAATGTATTAGGATAAAAAAGATATCACCTTGCAAAACAAATGATAAATCACCTAGAAAGAAGTTGTGTGCCCTCAAAGATGGCAGGTGTTATTGATATACGGCCGGTTGTCAAATTCCATAGGTTGGGGTGAAATGCCTTTTGTGATGACATTCTGAATAGTATAGTGCGTTATTTATATACCTTGATTGCTTTTTCGAGAATGGCTTTGGAGCTTACATCCAAGGTTTGGCTCTGATAATGAGCCTATGTCTGCCAGGAATATGCCCCGTCGCATGGATTCAACAGTTTTGTGAGTTTCTGCATCACTTTGTGAGTTTCTCCCATGCCTGTTCAAAGTGACGGAACGTGTGGCCAAATGGTTTGAGAATTTCCTGATGTCGGGGTCAAATATCACATCTATCCCAATTAATTGTACCCGTGCTGGTGGGTTTCGACTCCGAGCCGTCTCTCAACATAGAGCTGTGTGTTTTTGTGATATGACTGAAATACTGTTAAAAGCGACGTTAAACCCTACTCACTCACTCACATAGAATATAATAACCCATTCCTTCATAAAAATACAGATTGTTTAGACATTTGAAAAAGTGGAATGAGAATGCATATCTCAGACTAAATAACACTGAACAATATACAATGTAACACGATCAAGCATTAATCATCAGTTGTTTTCGAGTTGTTTGCATTCGTTTCAAAACAATTATTCACATCTTTTACCTCTTTTGTCATCTTTTTGTCATGCTTTGCGTGTATTCACAAATAAAACTCGATCAGCATAGCATATGTATTATGAAGAGACACACATACTTTTTAAAGATTTCTGAGAATCTCGCATGTTGTGTTCCGTGAACTACAACATTACGACCCCTGGTTTTCCAAATGGGATTTCTGTATTCCGAACCTATCCAATTTCTTTTTTATTTTTATTTTTTTTGTTATTTATTTATTTAATTTTATTTTTTGGTGTGTGTGTGTGTGTGGGGGGGGGGGGGGGGGGGGGGTGCGTGTGGTTGATACAGGCTTAAATAGAATAATCCCTTGTTTTGTCAAAATGTCCTGCTTAATGTCCCAACGTATTCTGACACAACGTGTTTTCGACCTCATGTTTTCGTGTTTACTGTTTTAATCTACATACACGCATATAATAAAACGTCATCATTTATACATCTCTGTTGCCAGGATGGGTATACATGAACGAATGCGCCGACATGGTTCTCCTTCCGGTTTACCTGATACTTGGAGGAGTAATCTCCCTTGTTCCATCTTTGTTGTCTTTTTACCGGCGTATCAACCATAAAGCTCGTTCCAAGAAGGTCGTGGACGACCTGTGGTGGATCCTTGGTGCTGTCTTCTTCCTGACACTGGTGCATATAGTGGCTGGTTAGTTCTTTTGCCTTATACGTGAGGTGAGGTAGGGTAACTTAGGGGGTAAAGCTTTCCCTTTTCACGCTGCAGACCCGTGTTCAATTCCCCACATGGGTACAATGTGTGAATCCCATTTCTGGTGCCCCCCGTCGTGATATTGCAGGAAATTTGCTAAAAGCAAAATAAAAGTTTACTTTCAGCAATATTGTTGGAGCTTGTGACCCAAACATATAGAAACAATTTAAACGGTCCTTACCAATGTATTTACTGTCATTGTATATACTACTAAGACACTTATAGGAACCGCATATTTTGTTCTTGCCCCTGTGATCACGACGGTGGACACCAAAAATCGGCTTCGCGTATTGCACCAATTTGGGGAATCAACCCAGGGCCACAAATTAGATGTTGTCGCCCGTGAAGTTTCGGGGACTCCAGCAACCCATGCTTGCCGTAAAAGGTGACTATGGTTGTCGTAAGAGGCGACTAACGGGATCGGTCAGGCACGCTGACTTGGTTGGTGCATGTCATCGTATCCCAAATGCGTGGATCGATGCTCATGATGCCAATCACTGGATTGTCTGGTCCGGACTCGATTATTTACAGACCGCTGACAAATAGCTTGAATATTGATGAGTGCGGCGTTAAAAAACAAACAAAAAACATTAGATTTTGTTGAAAATGATATACGGCCAGACAAGGTTTCCAGTAACTGTTGATGGCGCTCGAATTTTCTTATGACTGTCGCCCATGAACCCTGTGGCGTGGATCGTTGCATTAAGTCACAAGTTCACTAGTCCAGGCACGGGTATTTTAAGCCGCCTTCTATATTGCTGACTGCATCGTTAACAAACATTCAATCACTCACAACTTACATTTTTCACATGTTAACAGTGAGGCCAATACAAAATGATACGTTTATAATAGCTTGTGAATATCCTTTTGGCAACACGTTTGCAAAGAGTGCATCATCTACAGAAGGAACATCCTTCTAGGATAGACCTAAAGTAATAGCCAATGATTGTCGTAAGAGAGGACTAAATGGATCGGGCGATCAGTGACTTGGTTGATTGTCATAGAACCCCGACGGCATAGATCATTGCTTAATATCCACTATTTGGCCTCGCCCATTTTGTCCAGGGCGCTAATAAAGCTGGAACATTGTGGCTGGGTGGTTAAACTACATTCACTCACACAATATCTGCCTACTTATATCCTAATGAATCCTCGACTGCAATATGACCCCCATTACCGTTGTACTTTCAGGGTCCATGTACATCCTGGTGTCTGTTGTGCAAGCCAGAGTTATCGGGCGTTTGTGCACCGCGCCCTGGCTACCTCCATTTGGCGTCGCGGCCTTGTGTTTAGACTGGGTGTGTTTCGCTGTGTTCATGTGTGTATTCTGTGACGTGGAGTACAAGGCACCCCCACCAAGCACAGAACCGGCCCTACCCAATTACTGGAGACACAGGCATAGACTCAGGCGCTACTAAAACCCGCGAGTTATCTCCCCTTTGGTGGGTTATCTTGCCAGATATACGCGTGAAGCTACAGAATGATGCTACACTCAACGATGGAATTTTACAATTCTGAATATAGACCGACTTAACAAGCACAGCACAAAGACACAGAAATTATTGTCTTGCACTATTAAGTTGGGGTAAATATTACATCAGATTATTGCGACTTTCTAGCCATTGTTACCTTAAAGTGAGTCATAAACATTTCACGTTTGCTATACTCTATACTATATGTACACTGGTGAGTGTGTCGTTCATGTTGTTCACGTTCTTTATCTTTATCACCAGTATGTCCATGTAAAGAGGGAAATCGAACCTAATTTAAACTTGCTTGACGAACGGCAAACCATTCCTAAGTATGGGTTAATGTATCCAACAGACCCATCATAAATTACAGGTTGCCGGGATATCTACACATCACAGATAAAAAAAAAAGTTTAACTAATTTGTTAAGTGGTTGCAAATTCATATGACGAGATTTGTAATTCTTTCCTTTGATGGATATTGTGCAAGGGTCAAACAGCGAGGAATGGTTAAGATCCACGTGTGGATGAAGCGACAAATGCCTCTAGGGATGCTGTTTTTGCACTGTGGTCATGACTTGGATGATATACACCTCCACGTAGACTCTACTGCTATCCTGGTTTGTGTAGATATACGTGTAGGGCAAACGCCTTTCCTATATTCGTACGATCTAATTTGTAAACTTCACATTTGGATCGGAGATGAGCATAATTACTTTTCTGTTATTAAGTTTTATATGAACTTCACTTTGAGATAATGAAATAAATTTAAATCAGAATATGAAATGTATTGGCTGCAGCAGGTAGAACTGGAGTAAGACGGTTGGGTATGTTCCTACTATGTGAGCACATTCTTGGGCAGAAAATTATAAAAACAAAACAGCAGATATCTCATATTCAAATCTTTATAACAAACTGTTTACATATCATTATAGCGTAAGCCTTTTTGGCATTAAGTTCTAGTCGGACTTTGGAGCTCTCACATGGGATTGAAGCAATGAAATGCCCTACTAAAATAGATAACATACGTGTAGTACTTGCATACCTAGGTCGCTAGTGGCTAGTGTCTCATTCCACAAAGCAATGTTAGCGCTACGACTTTTGTAAGTCTAAGATTCTTAAAATATAGGAGTTACGACCGTCTTAATGTAGAATGAGACCCAGGTGGTCGACAACAGATGAAAGTGAATGACGTATTTTAAAGGAAGCCATCGAGCGACTCCCAAAGTAACACGTGACCTACATACGTCACAATGGAATAGCCTTTATTCACAAGACACTAACGCCATGGCAACCAGTTACCCGAGTGCGAAATCGGCACCCCCGGAAGCGCTCGTTAAATCTCTAACATCATCGTCATCATCATCATCAACTATTTACGATATATACTACTCAAAAGAAGTTAAAGAACATGCGATTCACCAATATTCCTTTAGGTTATCTGTCAAGGCATGAAAAAAACGCAAAATATAGCACAATAATGTAAGCCTCATTCTGAGGAAAAAGCCGCACTTAGAATGTACGTTCGATGGCTACCTTTGATGTGTATTGTACTACACGGTTTTGACTTTCAGGGCACGTAAGCGTGTTATATCCCACTTGAAGTTTAATTTTCGTATTTTTGTATGGTTTAAGTTAGAAAAAGAATCGTAGACAGCTAATGTGTAGACCATGTGTGCACTTGTCTTTTGGTATATATGTTTTACATAGATATATGTTTTACATAGATGCTTAGACTGCATGTGTGTGACTATTTAATATTTAGATATGACGTGTTTTAAATGGCAGTTTTACACGGGTACGTTACCATAAAACGATTTTTATGTATTTAGTCATCATTAATATAGCAAGCTACATGTAGTTGTTATATCTAAAAGGTGACTCTATTCAAACCGTAGCTATAGCTGGTTGCTTTCATTGTTAGGTCGGGTGAAAATGATATTCAAACAATTTTATATGGTTACCCGAATTTCTAAATATATTATTTTCAAATTGCCATAAATTGTCCATGTAGCATGAAAACGAGCGTCCCTGTCATTTTCTCAGTCAAACCATCCCTATCATGATCAGTTTATCAACAGACATAATCCACGTCCAATAGTTGCCCGGTGCAGAACATTGCATATTTTAACGTAGTTTAATTATACGTGAGTGCCATATTAAATGTCTATACAAATGTGTGTTATATGTATATATTCCATGTAAAGAAGCGAATTGTGATACGTGTTCATGGACACTGAGATTGCTCTCAAAGAGACATATACATTCATGTTATCATTTACATTGTTGTAAATAAATATATCAGAAAAGCAAATCCTTTTAATTTATTGATTTGTAAGTGCATGGACGAGAACTGGACGCAAACCCACGCCTGGACAAAGCATCATATAGGAAAAGATGATCAATGTTGTTAACGTAATTCTCGCCCTTTTACTAAAGAGCACAACACATCAGCCATTCGCATTGTCTCGCATTATGATCCTTAACCTAACGTCACCATACACTTGCTCTTTGATTTCACAGTGAATCATTGTTAATCTGGACCCCATTAAACGTGAGCCAACGCCTTCTTTTATCGGGTCTTAGTCTATAACTGGGGACACTACTCTAAGCCATTACTAGTTAATCCAGAAAATCGATTATCCGGACGAATTCGATAAAAAAGATATCCCCCAGATAAACGGGGTTTCGATGCAATCTCTCTGTGTCATTTAAGGCTTTCCTCCCGCATTAAATGACACAGTTGCATGTATATGAGGGCATTATTGTTCAAAACGCTGCTAAATCTATTTTTGGTCATCTATACATGTGCTCGAAATATACAGTGATATACATGTTACTAACAGCGGTATTTGATTTGCGATCACTTGTCACGACATTCCTCTGTGGTTTGCTCGGTAGTCAGTACTACAGTGTCGACATGTAAACCTTGATCAACGTAGTCCGGTTTCAGTCAGGTCATATATCGCCTTTTCGTCACCTGGCTAGGCTCTAGCATACTGCAAAATTGTTTCTGAATTTAGACATATGTTTTTCAAAACCGTTAATACATTTGATTGCAAATTAGCAACGTGCTAAAACAACGCCCATCTTACAACTCTAACATTCGTAGACATTATGAGTGACGTAAATTATGTAATGGTTACTTAACGATAAAAAGTAGCACCGACTTGTATAATGTAGTTATATATAGTAATATAGTATAATATAGTATAATATATGGTTATATATAGGTCCGTGGTAGTAGCAACGACTGAATCGCAAAAGTGAATGTTAAATCTGGAAGGGAAATTTGACAAGTTGACATATCGATTATGTCGATTATACTATGATGACAAATGGTTCGTCAGCATCTTACCCGTGCTTATACAGGTATATACCAGGAAGGAAACTTGCAGTTTGTACTTAAAATATGTCATTTGTACACCTTGTCACAAGAATACCTCATTTTGATCCTGATGATTTTTCACAAGAACTAAACACACGACTTCTCCAAGAGACCGCCTCCGTGGCTTGGGGGATAGCTATAGAAAGTCTGTCCGGTCGTGTCGTACCAAAAGACGATAAATGATATTATTTATTCATTTGTCTCCCTGTCTGGTGCTCCGCATCACAAGGGTAAGACAAGGACTGGTCGGCCTGGGGTCAGTATGCTGTGTCTAAAATGGGGTATCCATGTTAAAATGAGGCATGGTATTTCATCATGTCAGAACTATAAAACCGACATTAGTCCGGAATAGTACAAGCAGCCACACACATTGTCATTTAGGGCAGGTGAACGCGACGTTTCACCTCACCTCACCTCATCCGGCAGTACATATTAATCAACACAACATTTTACATTGGAAAGTGATGGTCAGCAATCATAATATACTGAACCAAATTAAAAACTTCACAATCCTAAAATTTTAACATTTTGACAAGTTATCATTGTGGGCCCTTATTGTGTATTTAAACAGTAATGGCCACGTATTGTCTTCAGATGACACCCGTTTTTGTGCAGATGAATCGATCAAAATCATGTGCACAGCACTATAGTGGCAAAAGTGGTTTTTCACGTGCACCTGGTCACGTGGCCATTATACCGCGCGCGTTTTCAGCCATACTTGTTAGCAGTCATTAACAAAAAAAGAAAAACACAAGAAAACAAAAGTCTTTACGGCCCTTTGTCATGCCACGCCTTTCAAATGTGCAACGTGAACGTGCCATCGGCACGTTGCAGACGGCAACGTCCGTAGCTGAAGTCGCAAGGACGATGGGTTGTAGTCGACGGACTGTTTATGATTTACAGACGCGTCTACAGCAAACGGGTACCACCGCTGATCGCCTTCGGCCAGGTCGACCACGTGTAATGTCACATGCAGAGGATCGTCAGATTGTCTTACGTCACCTCCGTTACCGATTTTTAACGGCTACATCAACCAGAAATGAACTGTTTAGGGGTAGACTGAGTGCGCAAACTGTTCGAAACCGTCTGAGGACTGCTCACCTTCAAGAACGTGTGCCATACTGCGGGCCGATTCTGACTCAATTACACAGACGTCAACGTCAATTGTGGGCACAGCGACACTTACGATGGACTCAGAGGAATTGGAATCAAGCCGTCTTCACTGACGAATCTGATTTAATCTTCGATTTGCTGATGGTAGGGCGAGGGTGTGGAGGCGTCGTCATGAAGGTTACGCACAGTGTTGTGTACAGGAAGTTGACAGATTTTGAGGCGGAAGTGTCATGGTGTGGGGTGCTTTCTGTGGCAATGCACGTTCCAGGCTTCTTGTCATCCGTGGCAATCTCAACGCTGCTGCTTACCGGGACCAGGTACTGGCACCAGAACTTCTGCCTTTTTTGGCGGCACATGGACCCGGTTTGATCTCCCAACACGACAATGCCAGACCCCAGACAGCAATTTTGACAAGGAATTTCCTTCAGAATGCGGAAGTCAACATCATGAACTGGCCGTCAAGGTCTCCCGATCTCAATCCCATCGAACACGTCTGGGATGATCTTGGCAGAAGTCTGCGCACTCTCCAGAACCAACCACAGAATTTGCAAGATCTTGGCACCATTTTGCAGCAACAATGGCGTCGTCTTCCCAATCATGTGTTCACAAGCATCACAAGGTCCATGCGGAGGCGTTGTGTGGCAGTTGTCAACGCACATGGTGGCCATACACGCTACTGAACTTGTGTGCCATCAGATTCTCGTGCTTGGGACTTATGATTTAAACTGTTGATGTTATTACCGAATACCGTAGGTGCTTGGAACAAATTATGGTTACCACCGTTAATTTAAATCCTTCTTTGGACATTTGTCCGTTGTATATCATATATGGGATTACTTTTAAAAATGTGAAGTTTTTAATTTGACTCAGTATACGTCACATATCTGTAAAGTATTATTAGTACTCTGAAGCCAGTGACATATCACATAATTGTTTAATTAGTATTTAAATGCCTGAATGCCTGTCTATTCATCCATTCATCTTTTTGTACTTATGGATACCGCTAATTGTAAATAAAAGCGACAACACCTTTCCATTATCATAAGAAATGAATACACAATGCCATTTAGAAAGTGGTCAAATGTAACAAATGTTATATTTGGGATAACACTTTCTTAATTAAGCACAGATTCCCGTACTTTCTCTCTGTATTCATAGCTTTAGGCCATGGGAGCCGTGCCAACTTACACTTGTCAGAGGGGTACACAAAGTACGTGATCTAGACTACCAGCTGTCGGAATTTCATTTTTGTGGAAGCCTCGGTGGCTGAGTGGGTTATATCGCTGATTTTGTGTGCTGGCGATTAGGTGCCTCACTCTGCCAGTGTGGGTTCGAATCCAGGACGGGACTCAACCCAAAAAAGCACGAGAAAGTGTTATCCCAAATATAACATTTGTTATCATAAGAAATCTCTTAAAAAACAGAGACCATTGTACGATTCCGACTATATCATAAGCATGTGTTTATGAATCCCTTTAAAATAGTGATGATACCAGGTGTTCGCGAAAGGTGAGCGTATCCTGCTGGTCCCTGGCACAATAGCATATTACTCTCCTTTGTTAATCATATATTATATTCAAATTACTCATATACCTTATGTTAATAATTGTACTGTGGGGCTGTGGCCTTCATGTCCCATTAATAAGTATTCAACATGACAAGCAATGGGCCTGGAGAAATTGTGATATATGTAAATATATACAATATGTGTATGTCTAACGATGTAACTTTGCTGATGAACCATATATCTCAGGGTCAACTGATTGGTTCATTCACATAATAAGCAATTTAGACTGTCCTCAACAAGACATGAACATGAACAACATGAACATGAACATTCGTCTCCGTCACACTGTGACATTATTATAATTAAGGGTGTAGTGGAACTGTATCTTCTTCATATTAAGTACATTCAGTAGCATGCATAAAACTGTGGTTTATTAATAATTTTACATTAATGTCACTTTCATTTTAATGCACTTTTTATGAAAATATATTTCATAGTAAATCTTTTTTAAGTAAACCATTCTTAAAGGATTGTTCTAACTGAAAAAAACTCATCAACACAATGTTTTATTTGTATTATTTAATTAATGGGAATATTAATACCAAATCCCCACTGATAAATAAACTGTTTCCGATACGGGCGTTTGCGTCCAATCTCCGAGGCGCTATGTTTCAATCCTAGCATCATCGTGACGAACCGTGACGTTTCTGTGATGCATTACGTGATATGAGTGACAGCCAAGAGCGAGTGTGACCATGCATGGGTGTTGAGAGAGTTTATATCTCTCTGTTAATAGCCTACATGAAGGTTTTGTCTCGCTGGCCTTGACAAAACGTCTTCTTTACCCCACTTCTGTCCTGCCATAAAATGTCAAATGGAAATTTGACAGTATTTTAATTATATTTAAACGATACTTAAGTTAAATGCCTCTAAAAGTCAAGAATGAGTCTTAATTTTCATTTTTAGACTTTAAATGCTATTTTATCAAAATTCTATAAAGGCGTTAGAAATTCACACTTTCCTGTTCTATGACGTCACTGTTTCCCGTTGACGACACGTTTGACTGATGAGAGTAACTTTGTCATGGTATCGTACGTGACTGACAGTCATTAGGAATGCCGAGTACGAACTCTACACTGAATGTCCGTTTGTACGCTGTCATCCTGCCCACGTTCGATTTCAGAGGACATTAATGTTTGTTCCTTCATCCAGCACGCAGCGGCTACCGTTATTGGGTTCAAACAGTGGCAGATTTTAAGACCATACAAATCCGGCTTCCTGGTATGGTCCACTAAGGTAAAATGTCCAAACTGACGATCACACAGGAAAGTGGTACGAGTGTTTGCCTGTCACCCCGAAGCTCCAAATTCGATTCAATAATTGGGATAAAGTGTGACGTCAACTCGAGGTATCATAATGTAGCTGCAACCATGTTAAAAGTGATTTGCAACTTCACTCACTCAGGTAATAAATTTATTCCATTTCTGACAAAACAGACATAGAACGTAGTGTGTCATAATTCCTATAATGCGTGTATCCGGACGTGGATTCGAATCCCTAATTCGATTATGACGTTACATGTATATATGTTAACAATATACCCCTGATCGTGGAAATAAACCCAACTGATGAAGGTCTACGACCTTTGTTGGAGTTTAGCTGCTTTCTTGAGCTGATAAAACCTCATATAAGTCAACTCAAATATTATTCAAAGAGGTGTTAATCTCCAACCCCTTATGCACTCGCGTCGTTATGTGTGCATTCACTCTAAGTTATTCAAATGTTGACTGATACCCCGTTCATATGCACAACATTTACTCACGTAAATAATTTTGCACATGTGTAACTATACATACGTGTGTATATGTAAATTAACTATGCGTTCACATGAAAATTAACTTAGGTATGGAAATAAGGTATGTTAATGGTGTAAGCTATACAAATTCATCAGTCTGTTCACGGCTTTCAACATGAAAAGGTTGTTTTCCAAAGTCGAAAGAAAAAAGAGTTACCTTACAGATCTAGAAATCTTCGCATGAAGCAACATGTGACCGATTAAATCTTTACACAATTTTTTGACTCCTTGAAACTCTGGACGTCCGCAAAAAAGTTGGTATTGCTGTATACTGAATAGTGTCAACTTCAGAATACAGAACTGTTGACAATTTGTTTGGTGTTGGCAAATCAACCTATCCATTAATTAGATCATCCTCTGACGTTGGTATAAACGTTCACATTACAACAAAGGCACACAGTGCAAATTTACAATTACATTTGCAATTGTTCCATACATGAAGCAAATTTGCTTCTAGTGTAAATATACGCACACGAGTAAACGCGTTCACTTAACAAGAAAACTCACGTATGTATATTTACACACGCAAGCAAATATACACACATATGTATAGAGGTGCATGTGGTCGGGGTATTAGAGATGAGATTAGAGATAGACAATGCAACAGTAAGAAATTGCTCACTGATTCATTGCCATAGGCACATCTGTTTGAACATTCTTTCGATGATCTAACTAGGTCAACCTTACACATTATACAACCTGAGGATAAATCGTCCTTTTTAAAGAATTCTTTTTACGTAAAAACCGAACGCTTAAAGTCATGAGGATGTCACACATGACAGATAGTTATATCCATCAACATGTGCAAACAAATGACTCTTGTCATGTCTTATCAGGAGCCTGAAAGTAGATTGGACGGCCACAGTAAGGATCCCGGTGTGGGTTACCAATGGCTTTTAAGATGTGTCCTGTCCTCGCTGATTTTGTATGTCATCTTACCCCAATAGTTTGTTGCTGAAGCTATTGGTCACAATGGGCCTGAGGGATAGCCTAGTGGTTACAGCGTTTGCTCGCCACGCCGAAGACACGCGTACGATTCACCACAAGGGTACAATGTGTGAAGCCCATTTCTGGTATCCCCTGCCTTGACATTGTTGATTATTGCTGAAATGCAGCGTAAAACCATACTCACTCACTCACTCTATTGGTCACGCTCATTGCTTCGTGTAAGTGTTTGGGTTGACACTTGACACTTGTTCAAGCGTTCATTTGACACGGCGAAGAATTCATTTCTATTCCCAGTATTGGTACAATGTGTGAAACCCGTTCTTGATGTTTACCGCCGTGATATAACAGCTGAAGAGGCGTAATATCAACCTCACTCATCCTTATTTTTTTCAGTCACATATTAATGATAATGCCGTGGTTACCATTAATTTAGATACTATTTGCATTGTGTGCTTGTATGCCCATGATACATCACTAGTGTCTTGTTATATGATGGGTGACAACTTAGAAATGTCCTATAATATCATACTGTACTAACGTCAATACAACACTAAACGTGTTTAGCATATCCAAATAAAGGAATATAATTATACAAATATATATTTATTCACTTAACTATAGTGTAAGCCTACAAATTGGTATAAGGAATATAACATCACGATTAGCACTAATGGAGACGACAGTATAAACAGTTAAACAATGTCATGTGGTATATACAAAGTCTAGAGCACATTGTATACAAATAGAGCTACATATATACATAGTGGCGGACCAGCCGCCTTGGGTAAAGACACTCTGAAAGCACAGTGGGTATGTATCAAACAGCTTGCTGACAAACATGGTTCCGTTGTTACTTTTGATTTTATTGCTCGTGAAAAGCCAGTCAACACGTCGGAGATAGTTCTCAAGAGAAGGATATGTACTGATGATATAATTCTGCAAAAATGTCGTAATATGGAAACACAGACTCACATCATACATTGCATTGACAATAAATTAATCCTGATTTTTTAAATTTGTTTCACTCTTCCGCGACGTCAAATCCTTCTTCACTGCTGTTCATTAACCCGTCTATTGAGGCCCCTCCGTTGTGCATCGTTCCTATCGTGGGATACATCTCCGACATGGTATCTAAGGAAGTGTCTCTTACGTCAGCAGCTGCATCAACACTGTCACTGAAAGCATCCAACATCGACCCTCTCACGTCATTGACAGTATCTGCAACGTTAGCAGCAGCATTCATCAGGGAGTCAGCCATATTGCCCACTGCATCACTTCCTGCATCATTAGCATCCCCAACCACATCTTGCATCGTATCAACCATGCCATTTTGAGCATCTGAAACATCACCGACCGTGTCGTCCATTAAATCAGCTATACCATCATCATCAGAAAGATCATCTTGATCATCAGGTGTGCTGTCATCAGTGATTGTGTCGATTCTGTCTTCCAAAGCATCTCTCATATTTTCCAAGGGTGTGTCATCATCATCATCATCAGAAAGATCATCTTGATCATCAGGCGTCCTGTCATCAGTGATTGTGTCTATCCTGTCTTCTAAAGCGTCTCTCATAGTTTCCAAGGGTGTGTCGTCATCATCATCAGAAAGATCATCTTGATCATCAGGTGTGCTGTCATCAGTGATTGTGTCGATTCTCTCTTCCAAAACATCTCTCATATTTTCCGAGGGTGTGTCATCATTATTGTTAAAGAGGTCATCTTGATCATCAGGTGTGCTGTCATCAGTGATTGTGTCGATTCGCTCTTCTAAAACGTCTCTCATATTTTCCAAGGGTGTGTCGTCATCATCATCAGAAAGATCATCTTGATCATCAGGTGTGCTGTCATCAGTGATTGTGTCGATTCTCTCTTCCAAAACATCTCTCATATTTTCCGAGGGTGTGTCATCATTATTGTTAAAGAGGTCATCTTGATCATCAGGTGTGCTGTCATCAGTGATTGTGTCGATTCGCTCTTCTAAAACGTCTCTCATATTTTCCAAGGGTGTGTCATCATCATCAGAAAGATCATCTCGACCATCAGGTGTGCTGTCATCAGTGATTGTGTCGATTCTCTCTTCCAAAGCATCTCTCATATTTCCCCAGGGTGTGTCATCATTATCGTTAAAGAGGTCATCTTGATCATCGGGTGTACTGTCATCAGTGATTGTGTCTATCCTGTCTTCTAAAGCGTCTCTCATAGTTTCCAAGGGTGTGTCGTCATCATCATCAGAAAGATCATCTTGATCATCAGGTGTGCTGTCATCAGTGATTGTGTCGATTCTGTCTTCTAAAGCGTCTCTCATGTTTTCCAAGGGGGTGTCATCATTATCATCAGAAAGATCATCTCGATCATCAGGTGTGCTGTCATCAGTGATTGTGTCGATCCTGTCTTCCAGAGCATCTCTCAAATTTCCCCAGGGGGTGTCATCATTATCGTTAAAGAGGTCATCTTGATCATCAGGTGTACTGTCATCAGTGATTGTGTCGAATCTCTCTTCCAAAGCATCTCTTATATTCTCCAAAGGAGAGTCATCACTGCCACCATTATCAACAACGTCATCTTGGCCTTCAGATGTGTCATCATCATCATCATCATCAGTCATTTCCTCGATTCTATCTTCTAAAGCGTCTCTCATAGTCTCCAAAGGAAAGTCATCACTGTCATCAGTATCAACAACGTCATCTTGGCCTTCAGATGTGTCATCATCATCATCATCAGTCATTTCCTCGATTCTGTCTTCTAAAGCGTCTCTCATAATCTCCAATGGAGAGTCATCAATGTTATCATTATCAACAACGTCATCTTGGCCTTCAGATGTAACATCATCATCAGTCATTTCCTCAATTCTGTCTTCTAAAGCGTCTCTCATAATCGCCAATGGAGAGTCATCAATGTCATCGTTATCAACAACGTCATCTTGGCCTTCAGATGTGTCATCATCATCATCATCAGTCATTTCCTCGATTCTGTCTTCTAAAGCATCTCTCAAAGTCTCCAATGGAGAGTCATCACTGTCATCATTATCAACAACGTCATCTTGGCCTTCAGATGTGTCATCATCATCATCATCATCAGTCATTTCCTCGACTCTGTCTTCTAAAGCATCTCTCAAAGTCTCCAATGGAGAGTCATCACTGTCATCATTATCAACAACGTCATCTTGGCCTTCAGATGTGTCATCATCATCATCATCATCATCATCATCATCATCATCAGTCATTTCCTCGATTCTGTCTTCTAAAGCGTCTCTCATAGTCTCCAATGGAGAGTCATCAATGTCATCGTTATCAACGTCATCTTGGCCTTCAGATGTGTCATCATCATCATCAGTCATTTCCTCGATTCTGTCTTCTAAAGCGTCTCTCATATTCTCCAAAGGGGCGTCATCGTCGCTGCTATCATCATCCAATTCGTTGTCATCTAAGATATCTGGTTGATTTAAAATGAATCATTACTACACAATGACATAGAAAATAGCATGTGATTTGCAATTAGCATTAATTGATTTATTATACGTGTAAAACATTTGTTGTTAATGCGATAGTACGCAGGAAATGTTTTGTTAAGAAAGATTAATTCAGTCAACTAATCATTAGTTACAGAAACCTCTAATTCTATATTGAATCAAGTAATAACTAAAACAACCAACCATAAACAATTAATTGTTTAATTCAAAATGTTACGATATCGACACATGGATACGAAAGTAAACAACGATGTTGCATGCCAGTGACTAACATGTGGTTAGACCAAGAAGGATGCTGACATTGATAAATAGTACATTGTTGGAGTAAGCGTCATGTTATTGCTCTATGTATGACATATATATATATATGAATATACTTACCATCAATCACGCATTGTACAAACATAACATGTGACGAGTCGGAAGCTTGAGTAAGTTCAAGTGTTAAAATGTACAAAGGGAATAGCCTACCATAGTGATGGTACTTTGTTATATAGTGACAATATAATACTTATTATATCCACCTTAAACAAAATGAAATATACTCTGTTATTTCCAAATTCATACACTATTCATACATAGTTGTATTATTAAAGATATTTTTAAATGATAATACAATGATAATTTCTTGGTAGAGAAAGACCGTAAGATTAATATGACTTTTCAACATATTTGATATTCCATGGCGCCAACATAGTAATAATATGGATTGTAAATTGTACTCCGATTATTTATTACGAATAAGTCTTGGGTATGTATTATAGCTTACATAGATGGAATTTAAACTACTGCTCAGCACGAGGTAGTGTAATAAGATATATAAAACACGATTGTCTTAATTGTTAGTTTCATTTTGCTATTATGTTCAGTGGTATGATAAACTGAATGTTAACTGGTTCCTATTCCACGATTTTTATACCAGATTAAATTATACATTATATATTGTGTTTATTACTCTGATTGTCAACAACTGTGTCCGCCTTTGAGTACATGTTGAAAATGATATAACGTTGTGCAACAATGAAAACTTGCACATTTCTGAATACATGTTCATGGACTGATTGTTACTGTTTTAATGCGCTATATTTTCATTATGAACAAACTTGCTTGCAATACTGAACAATACGCATGTAAAACACGTCCCGACTAAATTATCGCATCAGGGCCAGGTACATATGTATGCGTGATTAAGCGGACCATTTTTAATCATCAAGAAGAAATGACACAGTGAATGTACAGTTGAAACTCTTCTCTAATTACATATCAAATCCCAAATCCATTTCGAAATCATCCATCAACATCAAGGGCAATGGATTTGGATATCCAAAACCCTGTGCTTGAGGTTGCGTTTGAGGCCCCATGCCTGGACCCATTTGAGGTGCCATGTATGGTCCCATATATGGACCCATTGGTCGTCCAATGCCTTGACCCATATTAGGACCCATCTGATTTCCCATATATGGACCCATTGGTCGTCCAATGCCTTGACCCATATTAGGACCCATCTGATTTCCCATATATGGACCCATTGGTCGTCCAATGCCTTGACCCATATTAGGACCCATCTGATTTCCCGTGTATGGACCCATGTATGGTCCCATACTTGGACCCATTTGACGTCCCATGTATGGACTCACAGGCTGAGAACCCATACCCATTCCCCTGTTCATTGCCATGGCGGCCATCATACCGCCCATGTTATCCATACCATCCATGCCCATCATATCTCCCATGTCCCCCATCGCATCCCCCATACCACCCACCATATCGCCCATATAATCCCTAGCATCTCCTAGCATATCACCCATACCACCCACCATATCGCCCATATTATCCCTAGCATCTCCTAGCATATCACCCATATCTCCCACCGCATCACCCATACCACCCACCATATCGCCCATAGTATCCCTAGCATCTCCTAGCATATCACCCATATCACCCATAGCATCGCCCATACCACCCATCATATCGCCCATAGTATCCCTAGCATCTCCTAGAATACCACCCATACTTCCCATCGCATCGCCCATAGCATCACCCATACCACCCACCATATCGCCCATAGCATCACTAGCATCAGCAACCATGTCACCCATACCTCCCATCGCATCACCCATACCACCCATCATATCCCCCATAGTATCTCCAGCGTCTCCTAGCAAGTCACCCTTACCTCCCATCGCATCGCCCATAGCATCACTAGCATCACCAACCACATCACCAAAACCTCCCATCGCATCCCCAATCGTGTCCTCAGTATCACCTACTATATCGCCGACATCACCCACAGCATCCCCAACGCCTCCTACCATATCATCTACAGCATCTCCAGCATCCCCTGCCAAATCACCAAAAGTATCCCCAGTTTCCCCAAACATATCTCCTCCCATAGCGACAGCACTCGCTGGGTTCATCCCCCCAGCTGCTATAGCCATAGCGGGAGTCATGTCCTCAACACCATCACCAAGAGCATCTAGACCACCATCTACCTCATCCGCCCTATCGCCCAAAGCATCACCAATATCAGAAACACCGTCAGAAAACCCCTCACCAACTTCCCAAAACGCGTCTGCTGAAGCACCACCAAGTACACCGTCAACAGTATCTGGAATATCACCAACTGTACCTTCTAAGACATCCTCCAGATCTGTTTCTGCACCTTCCAATGATGTTTCAAGACTATCTTCAACATCATCCCTGATATCATCAGCTTGGTCATCGGCATCGTCCAACAAGTCCTCAAACGCATCTGTTGCCTGGTCGACCACATCGGCCCTTGCCTCAGCAATATCTTCTATGGCATCATCAAAATCGTCGGAAGCTTCATCTTCAACTTCACGGCTGTTGTCATCAACATCATCAGTCACATCGTCAACATCATCTACCACATCGTTCACATCATCTGCCACATCATCAACATCATCTGTGACGTCATCAACTATATCAGTCACATCATCTCCAACTTCTGCCATATCATCACGAATATCGCCAACGATATCATTTACATCGTCGTTAACATCATCGACAATGTCAGCAGCTGCATCGATGACATTATTAGCTGCGTCAGAAGCAGTGTCAACGACATCTGCTGCGTTGTCGGCAATGTCATTCCTGACATCGTTGATATTCTCAACAACGTTCTCAACCACATCAGGCACAATGTCTGGCGTCTATAATGAAAGAAAAAATATTTATAAAATATTAATTTTACGTGCTAAATAACCAGATATTTTTATTAAATATTCATTTAAGGAACGTTCAAAGAAATGCATACCGTCGGAAAATTCATATATATGAAAATATTGTGGAGTACGACATTTGTATGGTCGCAGACTCACGTCGTCAGGGATGCCGACAGCGTTACCCAGCATACCCAGGCCATTCTGGTTCTGTCCAAAGCTACCCTGTTGATTCTGCCCATTGAACATCCCTGCCTGAGCTGCTCCGCCCGTAATCTGTAACAGACACATGACATTGAAGAACGAAAAACAAAAAGAAGTAGAATAAAAAGAAGATAATTCGGAGAAATTAATTATTGAATTAGGACGAATATCTATTTACAATATATCATCTTTGAACTTGCAAATTATCTCAAAACACTGCCGGGTTATGTTGTTTTTATTGATTATGTCAACTTGTCAGGATGTGGGATGAAAAACAGCCAACACTTCATAATGTGACATTATAATGGGCGGATTGCTGTTGAGATAGGCATTAACATAAAAACATGTTGTTTATCAGTACGTTACACGGATCTTACGGTCAAAGTGCAAGATCGTGACTCGGGGAGTTCCATGAAAGCTTTTATAGAATATTCTCGTACACCTGTAGTCCTATTTACGTTCTCTCGCTGTCATAAACTTCGGCGTGATAAATAACTACATACAACTAGTGTCTTGACAACATGTTCACAGGCGGCGGACTTTAAATACTGACTAGTGAGCACATTCATCTACCTTCAAGATACAACATATGGCGATAACCATAACTCATATTTCACAATGTGTCGAGCATGTGCATTATTATTTTCTATATCAAGAATATATCTAAATAACCACTTTTGATTTTTTAAAATATAACATGGGTTGTCGATTTCCGACATAGGTACAATGTGTGAAGTCCATTTCTGGTGTTCCCCGCCGTTATATTGCTGGAATATTGCTAAAAGCGGCGAAAGAACAAACTCACTCACTCACTTTTAAAAATGGATAACTATATATACAGTGTCAAAATAAGGATATAATGTATAAGTAACGTGTTTGCATAAGCATATTGTTTATAAGCAATATGTCGAACAACAATTTCTGTATGAACAATATGTATGAAAATTCAAAACATCAATGCTTGAAACCAATTAGTCTCGACTATCTGCCGAAGCGTATTTTATTGGGCGTTAAGGGCAAAATTGTGTTGAAACCCGTTCGAATGGATAACTGAAAATCAATGATGACTCAAGGTGTTCGCGAAAAATATTGTATCAAGATACCCGCGTTCGAGACAAAAGGGTTAATGCATGTGTACATTCGTCAAATATTACCTTAAGTTATCTGTTTATAATACGAAATACGAACGAAAGTTACTTAGAATAATACTGTTTCTTCTTTTGTACTTATAAGAAGTATGAGGATACTGTGACAAATGGAAGGGATAAACATACTAAGTCCTTTAGTTTGTGTCGGTACATTTGTCCAGCAGCCCCTAAAGGACCAGAGCGACCTCTGTTACTGATATGACGTATGCCCTACCATGTCCCTCTGTAATGAGGTAATGGATGGTGTATGATACGACTGGTAACATACGAACCGCCCAAGATCTTTGATATATAGAAATAGGACACGCAAGCCGAACGTGGCGCCATGGTCCCATATTAGATGACAAGTATGACTGTATAACTCCTTACTACGGCACACGCATGCGGATAGGGGTTCATGAGACATAGTTACTTTATCAAAACATATTTGGTTGTGAGGTGGAAGATGTTTTATGACATTTATATTTACTTATTCATGAATGATATTGAAGTTACGTATGATTAACTGTCAAGGCAGTTTATATTCATAGAATAGATTAGAATTTGTGTTCAAATCAATAACAAAAGATTATTTTGAGTTTATTATTATCATTATTATTGTTGTTGTTGTTGTTGTTGTTGTTGTTGTTGTTGTTTACACTTGATATCGTTTTCAGTATGTCAGCGGAAACTAGCAATGTACTTTGCGGTCACCTTGACAAGCAACCATACGAACCGCTGCTCACACAAACCGTCCCAGGACTGGTGGAAACCACAGTATGGCGGAAAACAGTCAATGTACTTCCTCGGTGGAAAAATGAACTGATACACTCACATTAAACCCAGCCGCCCAATACAAATCAGATGAACGCGTGAGATAATTTATAGTCAAAGGAGAAATGGATTTTAGCTGCGCGCATAGTTTATGCATGAAAGCTGTGGTCAAGTCGATCCTGTGTTGGTGAACGTGGCATGTTCACAGCGACGTCTTCCAGACATACTTTAATGTCATCTTGTGTCCGATGCATTCCTATTTTGACTTGTACCATATTTTCCCGTGTTTGTGTAGGTAAACAATGTACTTTCCTGTGCATATATTCGTGACTGGTGTCACCGGTGGAGCAGAATACACTCGCCATTTCACGAACGCCTGGCATCATCACTATTTGATAGTGATTCCTATCCACAATGCCATGCTCATGATACAGTCGGTATCGTACAATCCCTATGAATTTGGAAAGGGTTTTCGTTTGTGTTTTTCATAATTTAAATTAACTCGAAAAGCAAAAGCCTACCATGAGAATTACCCTGGGTAATTTACAGACGTCACATCACTTTGAATTTATTGTGTAGTGAAGGATGAGATCTGATGAGATAGTCAATAAGTCACGATTTCCTTGTGCTAGTTTTGGCTTGTGATGCGTCACTTACCTCTTTTACAGCCTATCTATGTCACATAAGAACGTTTCTTGCCCCGATCACATTCCCATTCACTTATGCATCTGCATGGTTGAATTTGATGGCTATTAGTGCGTTCAAAAATCGATACTAACCATTTTCAACATTTGGCCTGTGAATGTCCAAAAATATATATTGTTTTCCTTAGGTTTTGTTTTATTTGGGAAGCAAGACCACAAACATGACAGCATTACCCACTACTTTGCGGGAATATCAGGTTTTACAAAGAACAATCTCAGCACTGGTATCAGCTAAAATAAATTATTATATGGAATGTGCTGATACAATAAGGGAACACAATTTAATAACGATGCAATATAACAAATTTTCCCGGCGATTTCAATTTATTATAAAATGCTTGTTTCAAGTAAGACTAACATGTTGAAAATTGATGGTTAGTGGTGTGGCATTAAGCCCCGACGGTTGGGTCGTTGCTCATGATGTTGATGACTGGATTGTCGCCTCCCGATTCGATCGTTTGCATGCCGCCGTCATATGGCAGTAATATTGCCGAGTTCTATGCAACAAACAAACACTTACTTTTTTGGAAATTGTGAGAGTTGAGGTTGCTACCGGTACTGCAGGACATGTATATCCTTTTTGCGTATACCTGGTGTCAGCACTGATCAGTTCATATAGTTTTTCTTACTATTTTGCATTTTACGCCGCAATGCATCTGTTTCGGTAGATAATGGAGACTGTATTCAATGCAACACCCTTTGGAATATGTTTTGGATGATATTTGAAAAGGGTTATTTTCTTGCGTTGATGTCTTGGATTTACTACATTATCAAACATTCCAAGGTCATCTTTGGGTCATACATGGCCAGGCATGACAAACACGTGTTTTCCTTTGTGAGAAATGTCTTATTGCTCTGGATATTGCAATGTAGACAGAAGGGTGTCATTGCCTAGCATCCTCGGAACTGGTGTCCAACGAGTGAGTGAGTGAGTTTTGAGATAAACGCTTTCATCACGATGTAAAGAATATCAGGGTGTGTCAGCTAAATATGGGCAAGAAGTTCACAGTGTCATAAAGTGACACAGACATCTATTACTTTTTTGCGGCAAACGGACGCTGGCAATCTATATGTTGCACCGGTAACAGTTTTACCCTAACTCTTCATTGTATGATGGAATGTTTTTGCCAAAGATACTAGACCTTGACTGTATTCAGACCTGAGATTATTCATACGTTATTTACATATTTAACATTAAAACCTAGACGTGTTGAGAAGTGTATTCCTCTTATGACTTGTGGTCATAAATGTGGGTCATGTGCCGTGAGCGACGTGATACATGAACGTAACTAGTTGTTCTACGACCTTTGATGTGTCATATATCTTCCTTCAACTACGCAGTGCGTGGATGGGTCATCAATCGCCACGGCTAAACTCCAAATCCCCCGTGCTCTTCCTAACAGTCATATTCACATGGCTATCTAAAATCCCTGTGTCTGGTTGGATACTTATACGTTTTGATACAAAGAGAACACTTCTCCAAATCATTGGATTATGAAGTTTGTCTGCTGAATTATTAAAGCAGAGATTAAGAGTATAAACATAAAAAGAAGTAGTTTATCATGTTTGATGAGTTTTATTTAAGTCTATTGACAATATTCTGGAAGCTTAGAAAATTAGCCTCAACATTTGATTCTGACATGAGTTTCTGTTTTCAGACTGGTTTAGAAGACATACGAATATTGTATTTAAGTAGGGTCGGATACCAAAAAAATTATAGGAAAATATCGTCGACAGAGAACGCCATAAACATCACAGATAAACAGACAGTTGTATTCATTCTCGATATAACCCTTATTACAATTAATACAGTCTTTTATCTCCAGGTTTGTGTAAAGATAACCAGATTTATTATTGAAAGAGTGCGAACTACAACGAAACTTTGGCTATTGCAAACCAAAAATTGTTATTGATGAAAGAAAGAATTCACTATCAAAAATATTCTTATAAAGTTTGGATTTAGCTGATGTGGACTTTTTGTAAACGTAAGATGCCAATTGTGTACATATTTGCATTGCAACCGGAACAGATTCTGGAATGTAAGATAAATAATAACCTGCTCCCTGCTTCTCCTACACATAACCAAAACCAAAACTATATAAGTAAATGCTGTTAGAGTCATCGACTGTTTATACAATTGAAAATAATACTCTGACAATTCAGACGCATAATAATTTAAGATGCCTTATTGCCTGGAGCTGAACACGAGACCATTCACTGAAGGTTGATGTACACGTGGTTATTGCATTAAGACGTCGATCTTACATGACAGCCGCACACTAGCTAAAGACTGCTGTACGTTTGTCTGTACGTGGATGACATTAAGCTAATAGTCAGCAACAGCATAACTGTGCCATGGCGGTCTTAAAGACAAATGGTTGAAGGGTTGTACAAGAACACGTATCGACTTGTACAACACATTTCCGTTCACAACTAAGATATAATTACATCTGTTGACATACATCCATGTAGAGGGCACAGTGGCTGTGACCACCTATTCCCATGTCATACACTACATGCGCCAATCGTAAGGGTGTGGATTTATTATATCCTCAAAAGATGACATATTTAAATGTACGAATTCTGATTTAGACCAAGATAAAGTAACCGTGATTGTTAAGTTGACTAACATAACCCAAGCCTTAGCCATAAGACATTTATCTTTTTCACAATCCCCATATATAACGGGTGTCACTGTAACATAAACGTAATACTTCATGTCTAATGCAAATGTGACGACATCTGGACAATTGACCATTGTCGTCTGTACTATGATAGAGAACTACGAATTCATTTTACAAAGACATTTATCAAGCGTAATCTCTATACGAGAAATGAGGTTTTAGTCTTGGAGTCTTGTACTACCTATTGTTTAGTTTGATGTAATTTCAAGCAATATAGTTTATTATAGTAATTGTACAAAAACCGTGTTAAACAACCCGATTCACAATAATGATCACATTACGAATCTAATCTAAAACTAATCTTCACATTTGACCTGTCTGATAAGTATGTCCTTGGCTGCATATGGTCTTCATATGCAACAGAGTATTCATTCTCATAAGGCGTTGTTGCTCTATCTGTATAATAGGATAGTGTTTAATGAGAATACGCATGTGAAATGCAAAACTGTGGACTGACTGTGTATTTTTATGTTGAATATAATATTGCAAAATATATCTTACCAAGTTGTCCTCATCACTTCCTTTGCCGAGGTTTCCCGAGACTCCCAGGCCAACAAGAACACCGCCAATGCCAACAATACCCATAATTGTTCCGATGATCAGCCATTTTAACAATGACGTAGATTTGGCGGCGGGTTTCAAGGCAGCGGCCTGCAACAGTGAAATTATTTATCAAAGTACAGGAAAGCACTAAAATAAATGACCTGAAATAAATTATTTCTATGTACTGTCGTATATATTACCACGACAGAGATATAGAATTTTGAAAAGAAACAACATTAGAAAATGTCAAATGTACAGTTTACATTAAACGTGTAGATACATATTAGTAACTATGTAGTAGAATGTACTGTCGCTAACAATGTCACGTGGTGAAAGAACCCCTTAATGAAAATGAAATTGTTGTTCTTGTTAATTCATTGGTTCATTATTGATTATCATAACTTAACGGAAATATGTATAGTTATGTGGAAAATACTTGAGTGTCCATCAATTTAATTATGTCTTGTACACTTGCAAGCCTATCTTACCGAAAAGTAAAGGTATGGAAACAATAAATGTGTAGACGTGATTAGACGTTAAACAGCTATTGTCATTCAAGTTTTGTTAAACATCGTTATAGTATTATAGTTCTATTATGTACTTACTTCTAGATCGTAACCTCCCATTATGGCAGTTTGAAATGAAAAAGAAATTCCTCGAAACACAAGGTAGGATCCAACAGGGGAGGATGCGACCAGCACACCCTTGACGAAATTTTGGCTTAATTCTTCCAAAAAGTTGCCTTAAATAAACCATGCCCACGTGTCCTGGTCTTGCCCTATCAGCGCAATCGACGTCATGTCATTGGCATTCCTGGAAACGAGGCTGAGCGTGAGGTTGTTGTTGGGCCAAACAAGAGACACATTGAGAGAAGTGTGGATCATTCATCTCCAGAACCTGCTTGACAGTTATGTCTAGTTCTTTTCCCACTCAGCGCTGATGACTGTTGCTTCGGGGCAAACTGGGAGATGTCGTGAAACCTTTCACTGAAAATAAATGTAGACAGGTATACCTAGGTCAGAGGTTTATGGGATAAGCATGTATCGGGCTAAGTTTCTTAACAAATTCTTACCTGGTCAGCTTCTGGCAAGACCTCGTGATGTCATATGACGCGCGAAGACGTACAATGTATTTAATGTAAAATGATACACGAGCATCCGTCATTAAACGTAATTGTTATCCTGTAACACCTATTTCAACCACAAAACGTGCTACATGGGTGGGATAGATTATTATCAATTATGCCATTTAATTGCTTTGTTCATCGTCATTATAGTGTCATATGAGAAATTTCAAAATACAACGTCATGAAATGTCTTTTCGAGTGCTTTCTGTATTTAAATTTTACATTTTGAAAGTGAAGCGTGAGATGCCAACACTCATTTCTTCAGTTCTTAAATGGGTTTATACATTTGAGTCATTTTCAACTGTCTCTGATGCTACACGTTGCTTTTGTAATTATATATATATATATATATATATAATGAGATGAGACTCGAGTTGAAAGCGCTAGCCAATTATAACTTCAATCTTACTCCACTTATCTAATTATTACTTCATATTGATGTCTTAATGAGCCTGATTAATATTTTCATTTATTTCTGTTTATGGTGCTTCTAATTTTAAATATGTGTTTGTAAATACCAGTTTTATGTATTTTGATTCTGCTTATTGATGTTTTTAACGTTACAATTTTTTACTGTTTATGAATGTCCTTTTATGGCGTTTCGGATATACCAAGTTTAATATGTACGCTTAATTTTTAATTATTTCAGTTAAGATCTGTTTGTGAATCTGTTGATCAGTTAAGAGTCTAGTGCAGGGTTGTGTCCAAGGAGTATACTATTTCGGCCGTGAAGGGATTTAACTGAGGTTTAAGTTTACATCGTCATGAACATCAGGAGTGAGTGAGTATGGTTTTACGCCGCTTTTAGCAATATTACCACCAGAAATAGATGAACATCAGGAAACAAAATTGAAATGTGCTGATGACATTTTAACCTACATGCTGGTCTCACCTAAAGGAGCCGTCACAACCGTCAGTTTAGAAAAATATCTAGATAAATTATGTCTTTAATAAAACCCAACAGTCCTTCTACCTGGCTTAACTTGGCCAATGTATCTGGGCAGTAAATGTTACAGAAAATGCATCATACCATGCCCTGCCCACGTGTCTACAGGTATCCTCATGGTCATGCATCATACATACAAGTGCAATGAGTAAGGAACTACCGTCACGGGGGACACCAGGTGTGACGTTTCTTGCTGTCCATTTCTATTTCGACATGTTCTTTCATGACAGGCAAATTCTATTTATAGTCATGAAGAAAAGCATTACCTGTTTGTGAAGGGCACATTTAGATAGCTGACGCCCTTGTCATTGCTCCAACATTTACCCTTACATTACATGTTGTCATCATCTATGTCGTTATGGTAATAGAAATGTTCAGATGCTGTAAACCTATTCAATTCAGGATCAATATTTGTATGGTTATGAAACAGTCAATTAGTATTGTCCGTGGGAGTGAATCAGGTTTTACCAGAAAGAGGCTTCACATATTGTACTCATATGTGAAATGGATCCCGAGGACATGTTTATCAATTACGAGAACGAGTATGCCACCTGGGACTTTTCGGCGCTATGTTTATACCAGTTCTTCTTTACTATATGGGAACTTGAACATCTTTCTATCTCAGAAAGTGTTCATCTTTGTTTTCTTAAACATTTTACGTCACTGAGAAAGTGTACTCCAAAAATCAAAATTTCTTTTTGGGCTAGACTTCTGTCTGAGAAAACATCAAAATCATCTTTCATCATGTATTAATTACCTTTTAATGATAATTTGTTGGGAACATGAAAACGTAAATGGATAACATATATGAAACGAATGTTTGACGAACTCGGCATTAGTAACATATGGATATCACAAAATTCAAAGTTATCTTACAGATCTAGTTGAGGATAAACAAAGTGATATCCCCTTGCAGTCCTTGATAGTTGCGAGGGATAAATCTTCAAAAGAATCGAATTTAAAAATTGATTGTTTTGAAGTTTTGAAAGCAAATTAATTAATACAGATAGAAACGTTCCGAAATTTTTATGTATTTTCTATAAAGTTTAGAACCCACAAATCATAATTTACCCATTGAAACAGATAGACGGAGGAAAATACCATAGACTGAAAAGAATGCCAACTCGGCCAATTATGTGACATTAATTCTTTATTTGTCCTTCAATTGAAAAAGAGAGGAAACAATTGATTCAGACATTACTAAACATAACATGTTGAAAATGAATTTGGTTTTTAAAAGCCCAGGAGTAGGAACATTAAGAAAAGTATGTAGGTTGTGTAAAATAATCGTGATAAAGTTCAAACCTGCAAGGAATATCTCATAAATGCTTAATGTACGAATTTCAAGAATTTGTGTATTTTCCTGATCCGCCTGCTCAGAAAAGATGTTTATACATTTGTGTATAATCAAACTTGAATTGTACCTCTAATGTCGCTGCTATCGACCTACATGTAAATAAAGCTCTGTTCAGTATATGTATAGTCAATTCAAGTTACTGTAGAAGTTTTGAGTTCACTATCTTCTGATTAGGAACATAATCACATGTGCCACATGTCTAAAATGTCACAATGGATTACGTGTGTTAAGGCGAATATTGAAGTGTCAAAATCTACAGACAAAAACATTCAACACAAATCTCAGGGTGATTCTCATTTTTCTGATGTTAACGAGCATAATTTGTCACCCTAGATTGGTCAAGATTTAATGCATTGTGACCGATTGTATCATTTCAAAAACGAATGTTGTACGACCTTACGTGAGAAGGTATATTTTCGGAACTGCCAATTATCTATATCAACTTTCAGTTTCAAATTGACAAAGTAGCTACAAATGTTGGTACGTGAAAGTACTCTTTCCGTAATCATAAAAAATTAATCACTGTCAGTGATGATACCAGGTGTTCGCGTAAAGGGGAGCGTATGCTACCCCACCGGTGGTAACCGTCACAAACACATGCAAAGGCAAGTCATTTTTCACCTGAAAAAAACGAGAACATATGGTACAAGCTATAAGAGGGAATTGCAGAGCCATAAGAGGGATTCGTTAAAAAGATGAAATATCCTCCTCATGAACGCTTCACTTTGGCCTTGAATTTTGCAATTCAGATTAAAACAACTTCAAGCAAGACACGTAGGACACTCTTTGAAATCTTCGTAGAAAGAGCATGTTCGATTGTACCTCAAAAGTTGTGAATTGCAAACACCAAAGGCTGGAGCTTTGGAGATTATGCGCGAAATAAAGGGAAAGTTGACTACTGGAAAGTTGAAGTCGTCCTTCTTGTCATACAGTCTTGTGGAGAGTGTTTGTACAGATCTAAATAAGGGGCGGTCTCACTGGTCTTCTTTATTTGTAGTTCAGGTGAGTAAATGAGTGGAGGGGAATTGGGTTTTTGCCCATCATTAAACGATATGAAGCTTCAGTTACACTTCTTTGACAAATTCCCTTTTGATCTTGCCAGTCCGAGCAGAAATTCCGATGCATATGCATAAAGAAACAGATATGCAAGAAAGGGAGAACAAATGTTGTGCCAATAAGGGATGCCTACTTCTTGCCTAAATGTCTTATCTCAAAATTTCACAAAGACGTTATCAATGAGGAAGTCCAGCATTTCACGTTTTGTTTTTCTCAGTAAACTTCAGGTGCCATTTGTTTTACATGTGTAATAACATGTGATATGTTTAATTGATTTCACAATGCATGATGTAAATGTCAACACCAAGCCTTAGTATAAGAACAAAGATAAGTGTGACAAAAACGTCTAGGTCTGTAAAACTTAACACCAAAACACTTCCTCATTTTTGCACGTGCCTCACGCAGTAGCGCAGGGTGTCATTCCTGATTTTGACACTTTCAAGGAAGGTCGATTAATCTCTGTGGACCATTATTTCGGTCAGTCTTATTTTTTCTGCACAGATGTGATTTACTTCATTTCATTCATTGTTTGTGCGGTGATGCGGCGTCTGCATCTCGAGGAGCGTCTAAGGGCTATTGGCATGCTGGAAACTGACAGAGGTCAGGGTGAGACTCCATTACGTTCAATGTTTCAGTCTGTGATTAGCATACTATGGAACAGGTACAAGCAAACCCAAATTATTAACGATCGACCCCGTTCAGGGCATCCCTGGTCAACGACAAGAGTACAGGATCTATTGATCCGAAATCAGGTTCCATGAAATCGAGCTCAAACGGCTATTCAAAATGCTGCAAACTTTCATCAGGCTACTCGAGTCTGGCGATGAGAGGTGAGGCGAGGCGAAATGCGGTTTAAGCTCGCTTTCAAGATCCATAGCATGACCAGCAATGATCCCAGACCTTTTCCCCATTGACCACGCCCGGGACATGACAGGGAGACTTGTGCGTCAACGTCATAGGCCGACGACCACGTTGGCTGAATTTGTCCAGGCGCTTCAAGAGGAGTGAGACAAACTCCCTCAAATCGCCATTGGGAGCTTCATACGCAGTCGATTGAATGAATGTTTGACAAGTTGTGGTGGTATTACGCACTACTGATTCAAAAACGTCAACTTTGAAAGAGCCCATCTTACCCCTATAGTCCATCAAGGTTGTTGGCGGTAGTATATTGCCACATAGCAGACGGGAAATGAATAGAGGCAGTACTATATGAGATATTCTGGATCTTAATAATGATATGTGTTATCATCGAAAAGGAAATAATGAAAA